GGGGGTCGGTCGGCCGGCGGCGGCGTTCGTGGTGCAAAAGGCGCCTAGCCTCCCCGCAACAATGTGTGTGTGTGTGTGTGTGTGAGCGCTCGCTCGCGCGTGTGGCCGCTCGACTGTCACAATGTAAATATCCGGGGCACGTGCCGACGCCCGTGCCAGAGATGAGATTTCTTTATTTCTCCCGCGTCACACACACACACACACACACAGAGTATCTCTGCCGACAATTACTTACACGCCTGCTAGCGACGCTGCAATGCCAAAATAATGAAACTGGCGCGCGGGAAAACAGGGGCATCTATAAGTTTGTATTTCAAAACAAAAAAAATGCTCACACACCCGAAACTTGAATTCTTTAAATGTTTTCGTTTTCGTTGTTTTGTTTTGTGAATGAGAGTGATTTTTGACGCCGCGCTGAGGGGCGGTCGAGGAGTGCGGGGGTCGTGTTCTAGACGCCATTCCTCGTTAAACTGTTCCAGCCGCGCGAACATCGCGACGACATAGACATCGCCTCGGGGCTGCATCTAATAGCAAAATGTGTACGCCAACGCTTCCTTCATTATTGAGCTTTCAAACTCTCCAGAGTTTTTCTTTTTCAGGAAGGCGTCAAATCAGCAGCGCAGTTTCGGTTCGTTTACTTTTGGACGCAGAACCGACAGAGTTTTTGACAGAAGTCAAATGGCATAACCGATGGTTTGTTTACTTTTTAATGCAAAACAATGCTCCACCATCTATGCAAAGCGCTGCATTAATCCCGTTTTGAAATGAAGTCAACTATCAGTACTCTGCCAAGAGAAAAAGTTGTTTGTGTCAATGCTCGGCTCGTTATGACGCGATATCGCTGCCCTTTTGTCTGCACCCTCCCCGTGTTGTTACCCTCGGCTGGCGCTCCGCCTTCATCGGCTTCCGCTCGGCTTTTATTCGGCTGGCTCGGGTTTCACTTGTTTCACTGTTACAGTGTAGCCGTCCGCGTGGCGCCGCTCAGCCTGCAACACGCACCGCTTATAATTCATCTCGAAAGGGATTGCCCTTGCCCCGCGCGTTGCCCCGGGGCTGCGTCGGCCTGCGCGCTGCGCTTTAGTGTTTCAAAGTCAAATGTAGGCAAAGAGGCGGCCCTTCCCAACCCCCAGTCTTTCAGTCTCTCTATTCTACAATCTCTGTGTAGCCTTTCACCTTTCAGCCTTTTCACTCTTCAGCCCGTCCTCGGCGCTTTTTCTCTTCAGCCCTTCCACTCTTTAGCCCTTTCACTTCTGTTTTTCAGCCCTTGCATTCTTCAGTCTTTAGCCCTTGCACTCTTCAGCCCTTCCTCTCTTCAGCCCTTGCACTCTTCAGCCCTTGCACTCTTCAGCCCTTGCACTCTTCAGCCCTTGCACTCTTCAGCCCTTGCACTCTTCAGCCCTTGCACTCTTCAGCCCTTCCAGCCCTTCAGCTCTTCCACTCTCCAACCCCTCAGCACTCTTCACAGCCCTTCCACCCTCTCCCCACCTGTCCACTCCTTCCCCGCGGGCGGTCCCTCCCCTGCCGGCCCTGCCCGGCCGGCCGGCCCCCCGATGGCCCTTGTTGTCCCCGCTTACTTCCGCCAGAGCGCGGCTAGCCTTCGATCAGTGCAGTCGAGTGTGAGGCGAGGCGAATGAGAGTCGAACAGGAGGACAAGATTGGGCCGGCGGAGGGGAGCAGGGTGGGTTTGCTCGTTAAGATCGCCCCATTCATACAGTAACCCAATTGCACTGCAGATTGCTTGTTACGGAAATTGCGTTACATGGCGGTAGCCGCCGGTAGGGTCGGTGCCTTGTGACCCCCGGCGTCGCCGTGCCCGGCCCCGGCGGCCCCGGCCGTGGCAGTCGCTGTGTTGCTGTGCCGCGCTGTGCGGGCCCAATCACACCGAACTCGAGCCCCCGACTCGATCTCTGAGCGGCCCGAGGTCGTCCTGTTTGCCGTCTCACCGAGGGGCCGGAGGGGAGGAGGTTTGTTGCACCTGCACTGGGCACCTCATCGTAGCACGCCTATCATTTAATATAAAAAAGACAAAACAAAAAACTTTCAAGAATAAGAAAACTGTTTAAAGGCATAAAGTTTGGTTGGACAACAACTACCTTTTCAGTGACTGCAGAAATGTTCTTCAATACTTACCTCGGGCTGGAAGAGACAAACAAAAAAAAAACGCTAGGATATCACTCTCTGTCGTCGCAAAGCGGTGCACGGTGGTGCAAAGCCAGCCAAAACGTACCACAGTGCAGATCGGCGGCGAAATCAGCAGCACCTACCGCCCCCCGCCTCGAGGTAAAGAGGGGTGGATGCCAGCCCCGCCAGCCCCGCTAGCCCCGCCCGCCCCGGCAGCCATATGCGCCTCCCCGAAGGCCCCCCGCCGAGCAGAGCGATAGCCCCGGTGGGCCTGGTGGGGTCGGCCAGTCAATTGATAAAGCCACCAGGACGGCCACTGCGCTTCCGCGGCCAGGCGAGGGCCAGGCAGGCACCGGAGCAGCCACACTGGGAGCTGGCTGCTGCCGGGGAGAACCTGATGGCGCGCACCGTCTCACGGTACTTGCGAAATACTAACCTAAAAGAGGGCAGAGAAAAAAAAAACAAGAAAGTAAAGACAAAGACGGGGAAAGAATTGGCAGGCTGTTTGTGCTCCGCCCGCAATCCGGCCAGCAGAAGGCAGCCAGCAGCTTGTCGTCCTGGGCGTCCAGCAGCACGACTTCAATCTCCAGCTTAGCCACCCCAGCCGGCCGAGGGCAGCCGAGGCAGCCGGGGGCGTCTCTTTTGATGGTTCGACTCCCGCAGCGACAGAGTCGCCTCGGCAAGAGAGAGGGCGACGCTCGCCTTGGCGCTCGCCTCCGCCAGTTATTGTGTTATCATTGTGTCCGTGCCATCTCACCGCTAAACGCGTTATATTCCAACGCAATTTGGACAGACAAAGCACGGCGAGACACGGCGGCGGTCGACTGCGGTTGCGCCAGAGCCCCGGCCAGAGGCGGCCAGAGGTGCCACGGCTGTGAGGACTAATTCGCCGTCAAAGAAGGCCCGAAAAGCCATTCAACGGGACCAACGACCGATTAGGTCCAACTTGATGAATCTGGCGGGGCTTGGTGTGTTCAGCAGCCGCGCAGGAGGGATGGGGGGGGGAATCGTTGGCGGGTTTAAGTCGAGTCAAAATGGCGTCGTTGCATGCGCGTTTTGGTCCCGTGCAGTTCTGCGTTTCTATAAATGAGCACCATGCACGCTGTCAAAGTGGAGTCCCCACAAAGGAACGGAACCTGCCTGAGGACAGCATTAGGCTCACTTCGGTTTGGCGGACACTTTTGTTGCTGTGCGTGCGGTCACACCGTCAAGAGCATGGCGGAGGGACACACACACACACACACGCTCGCGAACGAGAGATCCGCTTGTCGTTCTCGGCCCTCTTGAATGGCGGAAGTGGTGGCGTCCAATGATCCGAGGAGCCAGCCACTGCCTTCCGATGATGACCCGGGCGTCGTAAGCCGTGTTCAATTAGGCGTGCAGTGGCCACTGACACACACACGCACACACACACACACATGGACGCCAATAAAAATGGTAATGTGACGCCCCCCTCGTCGGCCGCACGCCGCTTCCTCCATAAGGACCGAGTCGGACGCGCCGCCACACTACTTTCTCGCCCATCACGGCTTCCGCGATCACTTCCGCCAAAAGTACCGAGAGCACGTCGAAAGCCTGCAGGTACAGTCACGCAAAGTCAGGACAAGCTTCGTGGGTGTTGAAGATGAGGACTATCCTGCGGAATGTGAAGTCAGGATGCCGTAGGAGCAGCCAGAGAAAGGTTGCTGTAGTCAGGGGTGCTGTAGTCACGGATGTTGTAGTCACGGGTGCTGTAGTCACGGGTGTAGTAGTCAGGGGTGGAGTAGACAGGGGTGCAGTAGTCAGGGGTGCTGTAGTCACGGATGTTGTAGTCACGGGTGCTGTAGTCACGGGTGCTGTAGTCACGGGTGCTGTAGTCAGGGGTGCGGTAGTCAGGGGTGCTGAAGACAGGGGTGCTGTAGTCAGGGGTGCTGTAGTCACGGGTGCTGTAGTCAGGGGTGCTGTAGTCAGGGGTGCTGTAGTCAGGGGTGCTGTAGTCAGGGGTGCTGTAGTCAGGGGCGCTGCAGTACAGTCAAGTCAAAAAATGGCGCAAAGCAGAAATGCAGTCCTGCTGTATTGCAGGTGAGTACGCATGCACACTTCTTGAAACATTGTTCGTCCGCACAATGATGGCCGCCTGGCTGTCGTAGGCATTGTCGAAAGCGGAGGGACGGAAATGGATGAGAAAGGGGCGAAGGGCCGTGGAACCGAGGAGCGGGGCCAGAAAGAGCTGTACCAATCCCGCCTCCCGCCTCGCCCCCGCCACGGACTACTCTTCATATCTATTGTTGGCAAACCCCGCCGCAGGGCCGCCGCAGGGCCGCCGCAGGGCCGTGGGGCCGCAGCCCTGATACTGCCGCATTTCTTTTGTGTATGAAAATGCTATATGTCTCGAGGAAATACAGCCTGTCCTCATCCTCTTGTGTTCCTTCGCGTCCCCGCCACCTTCTCCTGCGCTGCTCCACTGGAAGAGGCCCGCGTCGTCGTCGCAGTACCCTGCAAAGGTTGGTTCAGCGTAAGGGGCGGGCCAGGGCGGGCCACCTCACTGCGAAAGGTGCCCCCCGCGACAGCTTTTCAGGATTTCGTGACTAACAATGCGAGGTGGGTTTGTGCACGTTTGGAGGCCCGCCCACCCACCACTGTTGTCAGAGGCAAGCAGCCGACTCGGAATTAGCATACAAATCGAATTACTTTGCGGTATTGACTGCCTGCCGCGTTTCTGCAAGGAGCCAGGCCCAGCCAGGCCCAGCCAGCCAAGCCCAGCCCCGCCTACGAGGCGCCAGGTTCACTTTCTGAAGAGCACAGCGCGATCCCGCGCCTCCACTGTTAGTCAACCAGTCCGAAAACCAACTCGCCCGCCTTGGGGCGTGTAGGGAAAGCAGGGAAATAAAACGCAGCTCTTTGGTAATGGAAATCATTTTATGACGGAATTAGGTTACAACGCGCGGTGTGATGATTAGCACCATCTCTATAAATAACATACTTTGTCGTACAGTACCTATGTCACATGTTTAGGTTGTCGATTGCAACGTTATTATTAACCCTCTTTGAGAGGTAGCAGTTTAACAATAATAATAATAATAATAATAATAATAATAATAATAATAATAATAATAATAATAATAATAATATAAACAATACATACACAATAAATATATGTACATTTCACTGAGGATAGCTAACACATTATCAGTTCAAGACTTTAAGAAGGAACAGGCAGCATTTTGCGCAGTACACATTTTTTAAAGGAAAAGTAGTACGAGGCAGTGAGTTTTCTGTAGTCATTACCTCAGTAAGAGGTTTCTAGTCAGATAATATTTTGATTATCAGAGGTTTAACACGACGTAAAGCTAGATTGGAAACCTAAAAGGGCGTGTGCTACTGTAGAATCGCTACGCAAAACAAAACCACGCCTTCTAAAAGATACGAGAGATTTCAATAACAATTAGCAAGACAAAAGATGCAGAAGAGAGGTATCTTAAAAAAAAAAACAGACCCAAATTAAAATGAAACAGAATAAAACAAAAACAAGAGGAAATGCAGGAAAGGGAATAGATGCATCTTTTTGACATAAGTACCACTAGAAAGATGAATGAGCAGGAAATATGATGAGCAAATTTACAGCCCCTTTTCGTCTTTGACAGTCTACCAAACTAGACAAAGCAGGAGTCAGTTCCCAAAACTGATCTTTAAATGCAAGAAACCACGCAACAAAGCGCTCAAATTGGTCAGGATAATCAAAAAACTTTTTTGGTGGGGGTAGGGTGGGATGACTTCCTTGCCAAGCTGGCCCTTTGCGTTTGTGAAGCAAAATGAAACTCCCTTGACTTGTACCCCAAGGGGTTAATATCTTTGGTACACCAATTGCGTCAGACTATAAGTGTGCGCCCCATACGAGAACAATGGTGGAGCGACTTTGTACTTTAATTTGGGCCCATATAAAATGATTTTAGTCATTGAGCCAAAAAAGAAAATAGTGGGTTGTGCGCGGGAGTCGATACGTGACACTAATGTGACGTAAACGACGCTTACATGTATTCAGACTTCTTATTTTGTCAAGACGAGTTAAACAAATGAGATACGTGGCATGACTCTAGTGATAAGAAAAGGGTACTAGTCTAAAACACTAGACAGTCATTCCGTCTTAAGATTGTTTTGAGTATTGAGCAGAAATATGCGTTCTCATGACCACACAAAATGGCACAAAAAATTGCAGACTTTAGGATCCATCTGTCATCTTTCGGAGTCGCTTCAAATCCACACCACGGAAGCAAACTGAAAAATTGCCAAACCAAACTCCCCTCATACCCACACAAACACACATGCATAGTACATTCCTGCGCGCAGCCGGCAGACCTCTCTCTAAATAATACTACGTTTCTCGCCATGAAGAAAACGAGGATAAACAAGCTACTTTAACATATTGAAAGATGATTGCTCCTTACAGTAATAAGCATCTCAAAATTAGTCATGGTTAAAACTATAATAGTCAGCATGAATTCATGCGTATAAACAATGATTGTAAGAATGAATATGTCCATTAGGTTCCCTAATAGAGCAACGCTTCGTCCAATTTCATTGAAATTTGTTGCAGGTATCACAATGTCTAAATATGCTCAAGGAGATAGGATTAACAACACCAACTACACTAACACGTACGTACGACTGAGAGGCAACTTCAATACGAGACGGGCGTTGCATGGACTCAGTTATGCTGGATGGAAAACGTCATCAACAAACAAAAATTGGACAGTATTTCAGGTACACCAATTTGGACAGCGACCTCTTGAGCACACTTAAGTCAGATTGATTTCAGCAAAAATCGAAGATTTCGACCAGTTGACATCATGTACCGTTACATTCAGTATTCGCCTTTTAAATGAGCAGAGGTGATGTGATAATAAGCGTGTCTCACATGATAGCCCAACTGTGACTTTAAAGCGAGAGCAAATTTGAGCAAAGTGAAAAAAAATTCCATTGTTCACCACTACTCTGTCCTACATCACTCAACCTCATTAGCTGAGTTAGTTGAGTTCCTCTAAATTTGATAAGACGAGAAAACACTCCATTTGGTAAGCTGGACACTTATCCTCTTACACCTGAAATACAATTCATTTTAAATATATCCCTTTTTTGACATAAACTTGACTGAAAACGTCGTATTTAAAAATGATTAGCTAACTTCTAACTTTTTATGTACAATAGAAAGTTGAGGAAGGTTGAAAAAAGTAAAACATGGTTCACGCGTGGTGAACCATCAAACACATATATAACCTCATTTCCATTAAGACTTTGGTTTGGAAATTCGAGGTAGTAGGTTACTGCAAGCAAGCACCCACTATATAATACAAAAATCGATCATAATTGCTGCTCAACAGCCTAGTGTGATTAATACCTTAACACCGGGATGTTATCCAGCATCCAAAAATCTCTAGCCTAGAAACATTTCATATAATTCACATTTAACCTACAAAGCCTTAGTAGACAAAGTGTAGAACGAAAGCTGAGCTCCAAGCCGATCATAGTGCAAAGTACAATTTTAGCTCGTCAAATTTTGTCGGCACAGGGCAGCTCCAAATAAATCTACACTGCTGTGCATACGATACACACGCCGTAGCAAGAAAGCGCACTTGCTGGTACAAGTGACGCAGCTAGCGAGACAACGAGCACAGAAGTCCCTGCTAGAAGGTTCACACAGAGTCCTTCCACTAACACAACCTCAAGCTGTCTTCCGAGCAGCTGAAAATGATAACGCACTACGCTATGCACCTCTAAGTTTGACTTTTATAAAGAATACAAGCCTATATCCGCGCTAGCGCGACTGAATATCTCTTCGTCATCAACACCAGCATGACGTTGGAAGCAGTGAGCAGCACCCGGCCGCCCGGTGCCCTTTGACTAGACGACGGAAGGACCATCGCACAGTGACACGGGAATGTGGCATGCAGGAAAGAATGTGCGATGAAAAGGCACTTAGGGCACCCGAAGCGAGACAAGTGGACCTGACTAGAGGAAATGTAATGAAGGTAAGGAATGGGCGAAGACGAATGATGCTTCCAGATGTACAACTGGAACTTAAAAACTTTGGGGCTATCTCATTGGTTCCCATCGTCATGCTAGTGTATCATCAAAAGTTAGTCAAATAAAACAGCTACAAATAACACGCATATAACTTTAACCGATATGCTTAAATAATGGTAACAACTCACAAAATCACATGCGCTTCACAACAAATATTAAAAATGTATACCGCTCAACAAAGGGGAAAATCGTCAATTTGGCAAACAGCTGTAAAGACTAAAAAGAGTACTTATCGCGACGTTTTGCATACACTTTGCAAATTGCTAAATTTCTAAACGAAAAATCTCAGGGTAAACAGCGTTAAAAATAAATTAAGGATCCCGAATAAAACATCACAAGGCAGCAGCACAGACAAGATCCATGTCAACAAATCACAGCTAACTGGGCCTTTCTCGACTAGACAGTTAAGTCCAGCTCACTGTCCAATCCTGTAAAAAGGAACGATCTCTAGGTGCATAAAATACGCGACTCCACAGTGGTCGGGTACAATGCGTACTCCCAGCTCCAGATTCCTCCATCCTCCTCCCGCTGCCGACATTTCTGGCCCGATTCGAACAGCGGAGCCCTACAAGTCCTCCGTCAGCACCAGCTTCGGGGCCGGGTGCTCGCCGCAGGACTTGGAGCGCACGTGCGTCGACCCGTTGATGCCGTTGGCCGTGACGGAGGCCGTCTTACTTGGGGTGGTGGCCGCGCCGTTCGAGGTCGCCAAGGCCGCGTCCGTGGTCGGGCCGCTGATGGACAGCGAGCGTCCGTGTCCCTTCTCCTGCACCTGCTCCTTGAGCGCCATCTGGTAGGCCACCTCGAAAGCCTGTCCCAGCGTCATGATGACCTCGGTGGCCTGGTCCTGCAACGGTCGAACAGAGAACGGTTAACAATCACAACGGCATGCGGGGGCGGGAAGGCGAGAGAGGCGAGAACACTGACCATGGACGCGACGAAGAACACGTGGCAGAAGTGCGAGTTGCTGAGGTGGTCCTTGGTGATGTACGCGAAGTGCGTGAGGTCGTCCGAGTCCTGGCACGCGCAGTGGATGTTGCGCACCTCGTGCTCGCACACCATCTGCTGGCTGCCGGGCTCCAGGAACTTGACGCCGCGGAACGAGATGGAGAGCATGATCTCGGGCGTGTCCCGCGCGCCCTCGGCCGACTTGAGCTTCTGGATGGACTTCTTGGTGGACTCAGTGCCGCGCAGCTCCTTCACCACGGTGGAGCCCAAGTAGTGCGCGAGGTAGGTGACGCTGCCGGTGACCAGGTCGTGCGGCCGGTGCCGCCAGGTGGTGGTCAGGGCGCCGGGGACGCCCTCCAGCAGCTCGCTGGGGTCGCGGATGCTCAGGTCCTGCTGCGAGGACGGCGGCTGCGGCGCGGGCCGGGTCTTCTTGGAGTGGCGCAGCGTGCCGGTGGGGTTGACGGACAGCGTGGCGGTGGACGGCACGTGGATCTGCGGCGCCGTGCCGGTGGGGGTGCCCGTCGGCGTGGTGGCGGCCATGGAGGCGGCCACGGGGGCGTTGCCGGCGGGGGTGGTCGGCGCAGACGCCAGCGACAGCGACGACCCAGAGCGCGGCGGGCCGCCGTCCGGGTTGAGGGAACCGCTGCGCAGCTGGCGACGCCCGCCGCACACCGACGCCAGCATGCGGCGCCGGTGGCCCACCTTGGCGATCTCCAGCACGGCCGTCAGCTCCACCTCCCAGATGCGCCGCACGCGCGCCATGTCGTGGTACATGTGCTTCCGGAACGTGCCTCCGTACTGCTCCAGCCTGATCTTCCGCAGCCAGTCGTCCACCGGCGACGGCGTGCCGGGGTCCGGCGCCGCGGCGTCCTGCTGCACGTGCACGTCGGTCAGAGCAAGGGCCAAGTCGGCAGTGGGCCGCCCACCATTACTCACGTTACAATGGGGCTCGCATACTACTGACGAGCTCCTTACCTTCTCCGCAGCCTCGCCGTCCTTCTGCTGCTGCGCGATGTCCTTGACGCGGCACGGCAGCTGCTGCGACGCCTCCAGGATCGTGTCCCGGTCCTTGTCCGAGCTCACCCCCATGTCCTGCAGGTCCTGGTCCTCCAGCACCCCGGCCTGCGAAACACACTCGTCAAGTCGCTTCGCCAACAAACGCCGCAGCGCCTCCAGAAAACGGCGGCGCGGTCCTCACCAGGAAGTCCAGGTCGTCGTAGCCGCTGGTGAGGAAAGTCTGCTCCAGGTCCTCCAGACCGAGCGTCTTGAGCCACTGGCCGATGGAGGAGCACACCAGCGGCGAGGACAGCGGCTCAGCGCAGCTCGGCGAGCGGGACACGCCTGGAAGAGTTTCGAACGTCAAACGATCGCCACAAACATTCCCTCGTTTCAGCCAAAAATGAAACAATGCTTGCTACTGAGAGTGTGCCCGCTGCCTACGGCTTTTTTTTCGGGGGCGAAGACGACACTCTCCTATTCGGACGCATCTCAGCGTCCGCGGGCGTCGAGTGCCCCACGGAGTGCCTGCCCTCCCCCGGGGCCTACCGGGCCTGCACGCCGTCTTTGACGCCCCGCGCGCTTATTGCAGGTGAGGGGCTGCCGGGCCGTGGCGCCGGGCCGTGGCGCCGGGCGTGAAAAGGAGACGAGAGTCAAGTTTCTTTTTGACTACGAAACGCGCCAATTAATTTAACGCGCTCGACTTGCCGTGTCGCACCCGCCGTACTCGACGGCTCCGATTTTTGTATACATGCGCCCCGCCCCGCCCCGCCCCGCGCGTTCGCACTCAATTAATTCTAATTCCGAGATGTCACTGGAGCGCGCGGCGCCATTGCCAGCGCGGCCGGAGCCAATCGGAGGAACAAGAAAAAAAAATATAAAAAATAATAATAATGGGGGGTCTTTACGGGGACAGCAGGCTCCAATTACACCTCAGCCCCCTTTCTTTTTTTTCGCGTTCTTTTCTCTTTTTAGAAAAATATTCCTTCTCTTCACGCTTTGCTTGCGCCTTTTCATATCCGTGAGCTTTGCAGCCAATGGGAGTGCTGTTGGCGCTGGGTGGCAGCACGGCAAAAAAAAAAAAATACACTCCGCTAAATGCCAGCGGCCTCTCTTCAGATTATTATCTACTCGGCGGTAGCGAGTGTAACGGGAAACTTTGATGCCCGCTTTTAAGCAGTAGTGTTGTGCATAATTCCCCGCATCTACCAAACAGAAAAGCAAAGTTACCTAGTCGCTCCTGGAACTCCCTCTCCAGCTCGTTGAACATGGGGTCCCTGCCGAGGCCGCCGCCGATGGAGGCCATGATCTCGGAGATCTTGTTCCACTCCTCCTGCTCGTCGAAGGGGCTGAGAGGCTTCTCGTTGGTGGCGGGCCTTCCCCCGGGCGTGGTGGGCGTGGCGGGCGCGCCGTTGGGGGCGTTGGCGCCGTTGGCCTGGTGGTGGTGGTTGTTGGTGGCGGCCAGCAGGCGCTGCCGCGTCTCCTGCAGCTCGTTGAGCTCGCGGGCCTCGCGGGCCTCCTTGGCCTCGCGGTTGCCGCGCGCCTCGCTGGGGTTGCGGATCAGCGGCACGTCGTACACGTGCTTAAGGCGCCGCAGCGTCTTGGGCCGCTCGGCGGGCTGGTGCTGGTGGTTGTTGTTATTGTTGTTGTGGTGCAGGTGGTGGTTGTTGGAGCGCGCCGCCGCCTGCTGCGCCGTCGACCCCTTCAGCAGGCCTGCGAACCAAGAGGAACACGGGGGTCTTAGAGCGGTCCAGCCAGAGTGCGACGCGGTCCTCGGCGATGTCCGCGGAGCGTTGTGCGGACTGACTAACTGCGTTCGAGTTTCAAGTTTTCGTCGAAACTGTGCAGCACAACGCTCTTCGTTCGGTTACGACACTTCCGGGGACATCGCCGAGCCGCGGCCCCTAAAGCGTGACAGTCACACGGTCTGGCGCGTCGAGCCAGGCAGGCTGGAGGCAGGCTGGAGGCAGGCTGGAGGCAGGCGGGACACACAGACAGCATCCTGCATCCAGAGACATGCACGTTGCCAAGGCGCACTCAGGAGCAAAAGCGGAAGCCAAAATGCAGTAACCGCTGCGAGGTGTCAAACCAGAAACAAACCCAGAACCGAGCACCGAAGTCCACTCTCTTTGCAGGCCTCTCTTTTACAGAGTATGGGGCAGAAACCAGATACTTGTAGCCGCACGCCTGCAGCGCGCACCTTTCTCCCCAAAACTCAATCTGCCGTTCATTTCCACGCATTCTTATTTTTTTCTTCTCCCCGCCCCGTCTAAACCATGGGGTATTCTAAATTTCATGAAGCCGGCCGGGAGTCTCTCACACATCTAGTTGCTGTATAAAGCAATCTCGTCCAGAAAAATAAATACGAATTCATGCAAAAGAAAGTTAATTAAACGGGGTGGGTGCCTCGCGGTGCCTGGGGCCCCGCGCCCGGGACTTCCCCATTGCTCAAAGGGTGGCTAGGGCCGAAAGGCGCAAAGGCCTGAAGGACAAAGGGCTCCGAGGCGAGCGGCAGCGAGCGACGACAGATGAGCTCGAGACGCCGTGGCGCGCCAACACTTTTGCAATTTACGTTATTTCTGTATATTTCGTAAACGGATGGAGGCGTGAAAAGGTGTGCACGTGCACAAGGACGACCCCGTCTAAAATTCGATTTGAGATGGGGTCACGCCCATGCATGGACTTCTCCATCTCCAGCCGTTTGCGACGTACAGAAAAGTGGAATGTTGGCGCGCTGCTCCGCCAGCACGCGGTCCACAACACTGTTAAAAAACAATCACACAGCAGCCACCCACACCCGTGACCGTCAAGTCTCTGCGCTGAAAAGTGTTTCGCGAACAACGCCCCGTCAAACACACACACACACGCACACAAACACACGCACGCAGCGATACAAATGCATGACAGGAGAAAAGAAAGGGAAAGAACTGCACACAAAATAAAAACAAAGCGTTCATTTCCACGGAAGCACTGGTCAACAGCAGCTGCCGCCGAGGCCCCCTGTCGGCCGGACCACACCGCCGCCACCGCCACCGCCGGGCACGACACCAAGTGACATTTTTAATTAAAAAGTTGGCAGTTGCGCCCCCGCTAGCCCCCCCCCCCCCCCACCTCGGTAAATACGAATGCATATTACGCCAGCAACGGTCTAATTACACGCCACTGTAAACAACGCCATGTGCCTTGCCGCGCCGCACCACGCCCCCGGAACGCCTCGGAACGCCCCGCCCCGCCCCACCCCGCCCCGCCCCAGGCAGGAAGGTGGCGACGGACACCATCTTGCAGACCGCCGTGGCCAAACCGCAGAAACGCCATCGCGTCTCAGGACGAGACTTTTTTCCGCTCCGCGTAAAAAGGCGCGCGCACAGTGGATTTGCCAGAGGACCGGTGGAGGCGGTCAAAATCCCGGACGCGTTTTGAGCTCCAGAGTCTCTAAACGAAGCTCGAACCGAGCGTATGACCCCACCAACGGATTGCTCTCCTAACGAGGAATCCATTGGTAGGATCACACGCTCGGTTCTAGTCCTGGTTAGCGACTCTGGAGCTCAAAACGCGTCTAGAATTTCGGCTTCCGGCCCACTGTGAGGCGCTGTTCCACGAGTGGAGACTCATTGTGACTCCAGCACGCGGGTCTGGAGAAAGGGTAATTCCAGTGTGTGTTGCTGTTAATCCGGGCGCGAGTCGCGTACACTGTACACGCTGGAAGGGGGCGGGGGCGATCGAACTTGAGCGCATTATACATATGGCCTCCACTTCACGCGACAGCGCCCAGGGGTCGACTCGGCGCGAGGCCCGCGCGGCGCTCTCAACTTGGCCCGACTTCGCCGTCCGCGCCACTGGTGGTAATCACACCTGCGCGTGACGTCATCCGCAGCCAATCGCCACGCCGCTTTTATCACTGCGATTGCACGCCGCCGCCACACCGTCGGCGGGCCGATCCCGAACACGTCTTTCGTCGGTGCTTCTCTCTCGCACCTGCGCGGCACGAAGGCGGCACGCCCCGCGAGTGCGAGAGAGACAGAGCGACGCAGTACTGACCTCGTCCGCGGTGGAATCCATCGGCGGCGGATGTCGATGCGGCCACTTGTTGCCTCACTAGCGCCACCTCGTCGGCGACTGCACCAAACACACCCGTATAGAAACGACACAACCTGCTGCTTTTCGCGGCCCGGCACCGCCCGCCGGCGCAGATCTAGGGTGGCCACCCGCGTCCAGTCCACTCTCTCCATTCAGACTCGAGCCGATGGGAAAGGTGCACCGGCAAGTGGCCACTCTAGGATCCGCCGGGCTGCTGCGACCCCGAGCGTCCCCGGGGTCGTGCAGCTCGCCGTCGCACAGTGGGCCAGAGGACCGGTGGAGGCGGCCAAAACTCGAGACGCCTTTTGAGCTGCAGAGTCGCTAAACGGGACTCGAACCGAACGTGTGACCCCACCAATGGATTCCTCGTTCGGAGAGCAATCCGTTGGTGGGGTCACAGGCTCGGTTCGAGTTCCATTTAGCGACTCTGGAGCTCAAAACGCGTCTTGAGTTTAGGCCGCCTCCGCCGGTCTTCTGGCCCACTGTGCGTCGACCACTCTCAAGCGGAGCGCTGGCGAATGGGCGGCCGTCGAACGCGAAGCAGCTCACCTAGGGCAAGTCGCTGGGCGCGGCGTCGGAGGCCGCGCGCGTACGCGCTCGCCTCGGCCAGCTCGTCCCGAACCACGGCGCGGTGCATGGCCAACTACTGGCTCGTCCAGGGCGGCACGCGCCGCGCGGCGTGCTCGTCACGCCCCGTGCACCGCCACGCCATGGCCACGCCGAGCACGGCGCCGGCCGCCACGCCGCGCGCACGCGTCTTGCCGCGTCTTGCCGCGCCGCGCCGCGCCAGCAGGTCGGAAAAGTGAGGCAACGTGAGTCCACGTACGCGGCGCCGCGGCCGCCGCAGTTACGCCCTTGTTGGCCACCCGGCCGGCCGAAGGTGCGCGTCGTGGCCGTCTCCCTCGCCGTCACGCGCGCCGCGCCCGGGCCCGCTACACCAGTGTGCCACCCAGCCGCCCAGCGGCCCAGCGCATCAAGATGGAAAACCAGCGGAAATCCGAGAAGAAAGTTGTTTCCCGCGTCGCGACTCCCGGCTCGTCTTTTTCGGAAAGTCGGAGGGCAGCGTCCGGGACTCGCTGACGCGCTTTGCTTTGGCTTTGCTTGGCGTTGCCCGGCGGCGGGGCGGCGGCGGGAGTTCCAGGCCCTGGCCAAGGCCCTGGCAGCGCAGGGACCCCTGACAAGTCCTACGCAGCGGTCCTCGCTGGGGTCCCGCTCAAATCTTGGCCCGGTGCGCTGTGGCTGCTCAGCATATGGAATTTACTAACACAATTAATCCGCCACAGCACCCTGCCCGCGGGCGCACCCGCCCCGCCCCGCCGTGGAATAGAATAAGCCCCCGCAGCGAGGCGCAGCCAGCCGTGGCCAAATCGGCGGCGTGTATCCGAGCCGAGCGGGGAAAACACGAGCGGCAGTCGAAACACGGGGAGATGACACGCCGAGGACACTGCAAGGAAGCAGGGACACCAACAAGTACTTACAATGCAAGGAAGCACAGGGACACCAACAAGGACACTGCAAGGAAGCACAGGGACACCAACAAGGACACTGCGAGGAAGCACAGGGACACCAACAAGGACACTGCGAGGAAGCACAGGGACACCAACAAGGACACTGCAAGGAAGCACAGGGACACCAACATGGACACTGCAAGGAAGCACAGGGACACCAACAAGGACACTGCAAGGAAGCACAGGGACACCAACGGGGATACTGCAAGGAAGCACAGGGACACCAACAAGGACACTGCAAGGACACACACTCTTAGGCCATACAGCCACTGGACGCACAGCCACAGGACACAGCCAGGACGCGTCGGTCGGCTCGTCGTCCCGTCGAACTACCTCGCGGGTCCCTCCGACGCTGCGCTGCGCGCCACGGCCGCGCTACTGACCAGCACCAGGAGCCAGGGTCCAGGACCCAGGCTGAGTGACACACGACGGCATGAGGCGGTCAGACCCGGCCCCGGCAGGCCTGGCCCCGGCGGAGGTCAAGGGGTCGCGGCGGCAGAGGACGACTCCCGTCCTGGACAACGTCCTGGACCAGGCCACGCACCGGGGACTCACTCCCAATCACAACCGACAGAAGCAGCCTGCACTGTCCTACTTTTGGGGCGCATTTTGCACGAAAACGGAGGGTGAGGAACAGCAAAAATAAAAGACAAAAGGAGCAACAACAACAAGTGGCGTCCAAGGCCGACCCAATTGGAGCGGCTCTCACTCACTCAGGGTGTACCGCATCCTTGCGGTGGCGTCACTCAGTCACTGCAGCGTGTGCAAGAGAGACCTAGAGCACGCACACGCACTCGCTGTCTCACTCACTCACTCACTCACTCACTCACTCACTCACTCACTCACTCACTATGTCACACCACACAAAGCAGTTAAAGTTTTCGCAGGGAGCTGAAAAAAAAGTAGCACAGCTTGGGCTCGTCCTAGGGTCACTGCAGAACCCCCAGCGCGGTACACAAAGCACCCTCGAATTATAAACGTAAACACCAAAGAACAGATATTGGGACCTGCAGAAGGGTTGGCTGGGAATGACGAGGCCATTTGAATCGGTCCCGCCGCACAGACGGGGCAGGCAGACTGACAGACAGACAGACAGACCAGGCAGACAGACGGACGGGCAGACAGACAGGCAGACAGACAGGCAGACAGACGGACAGACAGCACAGCAGGCAGAGCGTGAAACGTGCGCAGCATTGGCCTAACGAACAGGGCGCCAGGTACACCTCCACGCGTCCGATTATTTTCGTGGAACACTTTAAACGGCAGCCCGCCGCACTGAGTCCATCACTCGTCCGTCCATCCACCGCAGTTTTCTGCTTTTTTCTCTCTCTCTACTTTTAAAGATCAGTAGTATAACGCACGGCCCTGTGTGAGAGAGACTTAAAAAAAAAGGCGAACAGGAAAACTTGCACGTGGGGTCACCTTTGATGATGTAAGCGGGAAAGCGGTAGCCCCAGTTTGGCAGCAACGTAAAATGCGCAGAACAGAAAAGGGGACACTGTGCAGATGATGAAAAGCGAGAAGCAGCGTACGATGCACACACACGGCATGGCGATCCTCTTCGTCGAAACGGATCAAAAGCCCCACAACAATCGGGATGGGAACAAGGAAACCAATCAAACAAACAAACATTTCCAAATGGGGAATCTCTTTTTTTTCCAGGGTGGGGATGATGCGATTTAGCGTCCACAGTACCGCAAGCAGTATGAACACAGCCCTTTTTTTTTCGAGTGTTGGCAGCCATGGAACCGCGAAGCCGTGAAGCCACTGCCTGGGCGGGGCGCCGCGGGGCGGGGCGCCGCGGGGCGGGCTGTGCTGCCCGAGGGGGCAAAAACTCGCGCAATCATGTGTACACGGCCCCCGAAATCACACGCGAATCATTGAGAATCACGCGAAATCAAGCAATCCGAAATCAGCCAAAATCACTAAAATCGACCGAAATTAGGCAGAATCACACGAAACCAGGCCAAATCAGTCCGAAATCATTTCTTTCCGAACACAATCACACGCAATCACGCTCAACATCACCCTGGTGCGTCGCGAAATAAGGCAAAAATCAATTAAAACCATGCGCCATCATTGCGTTTTCCGAATCATGTGTACACGAAAATCCCGAGTTTTTGCCCCCTCGGTGCTGCCGTCGGCTGCCGTGCAGTGCGGTGCCTTACTTGTCGTGGTGGCCGAGGTGGCCTGCCCGGACACGGCCTCAACGCTACAGGACGGGGGCCTCTGTGAGGGGCCCGGGGAGCCCCCCTGGGGGCCTTGGGGCTGGCCTTGCTGGCTTTGGACGACCAGGGGGCTGCGGGGGACGGGGCGCCCCCATCGGCCCCAGGTACTCCGCGTCCACGAGTCGTCAGAATCGTCTGCTGCAACCATTTGACACTATTTCTCCGATGTTCCTTTGATAGGGCAGGGTTTCATAGCTGTAAGGTCTCGGTGTTTTCAAGTTGACGCACTGAGTAGAGCGCCGTAGGGGACAGTTTCGACTGCAGTAGCACTCAGCGGTGGCCGGCACTACATCAAGCTGGCTAGACAAACAAATCTAGAAAACTACACCTACAAATCTAGCGCGTGCGCTACAAACGCGGCATCTATACCCCTCAGACACACACACACACAGACACACCCATCCCGAACAATCTCGGTTAATGACACACTGCGAAAAATACTCAAGCCGCAAACAAAATGTACACGCCGCAGATTTCAAGGAAGATTCTTTTCTACGGCCAAGCCTCTGCAAGCGTCTAGCTAGCGGCTGGGCTGACGCGCGGCGGCCAAAGAACACAGAACTGGCGTACAACACAGTGTACTACACGCAGGCCAACCAAGCGGCGCGACGCGATGTCCGTTGGAAGGAAGCTTGAAGTGAGTGAGTGTAGGCACTGAGAGTGAGTCAACAGAATCTACTGTGCCAATACCCCGTGAGTACCCGCCAATGTGGTTTGGAGTCTCGCCCACACGGGGTAGCGCCACTTCGTTTCTTTCTTGTCTGAAAGTGCGAAACTTGGTGCCCACGCGTGAGCACCGGGCCATGTCACCCCGCACAGTGGGCCAGAAGGCCGGCGGAGGCGGCCGAAATTCTAGACCCGTTTTGAGCTCCAGAGTCGCTAAACAGGACTCGAACCGAGCGTGTGGCCCCACCAATGGCTTGCTCTCCAAACGAGGAATCCATTGGTGGGGTCACACGCTCGGTTCGTGTCCCATTTGGCGACTATGGAGCTCAAAACGCGTCAAGAATTTTGGCCGCCTCCGCCGGTCTTCTGGCCCACTGTGCCCCGGTTTGGATGTTTGGACGGGACTACATACTTACGCGGGGCAAGGCTGCAGTGTTCGCGGCTGTGTTGGTGAGGGGAGATTCATTAGAGAGTTTGCCGCTATGCGAATGAATGTGTGTGTGTGAGAGAGAGTTGTGTCAGTGTGTGAGGATGAATGAGATTACTGATCGGTCGGTGGTCGTGTACGTGAATGTGAGCAGTAGACACGACCGACTAGTACAGTGTGCGAGCGCAAAATGTTAGAGTAACTGAGAGCCATATGGGGCGCGGCCAACACGGATTAACACACACACACACACAGACAGGCACACATACACACACACACGCGCGCGGCGCGGATACTCACCGGCGAAGGGGGCGTCGCCGATGTACTCCTCGACCATGTTGTCGGAGTGCAGCGAGATGCTGGAGCAGATGGAGCCGGACAGCGAGCCGGGCGGCGCGTTCCACACGGAGCACACCAGCAGGTCGTCGTCCGTCTCCGTCTCCATGTCCCTGGAGCTGCGCTTGTGGGACTGCGCGTACTCCTGCGGGCAGCGGCACACCAGCGACATCAGCCCCGAGCGGCCCGAGCACAGCCACATGGCCCACCACGAACCGCCCACCCGAACCCCGAAACCCTAACCCTCAACTGCGAGCCCCGAACCGCGAACCCCGAAACGCGAACCCTGAAACGCGAACCCTGAACTGCGAGCTCCGAACCGCCAACCCCGAACCGCGAACCCCGAACCGCCAACCCCGAAACGCGAACCACGATCCCAAGAACCCAGAACAGCTAAGGCACGCCTGAGGCCAACCCCGGGAGGAAAGCAACTGAAGCAGGGAAACCCCGGGCAGACGTCCTCGGCCTCGGTCCCATGCTGCATACCCCACTGCCAAATAGATGCGACGGTCCTGACCTTTAAATATCGCCAGCAATCACTTCCCTTCCCCTCCCACACCGTCAAGGACCCCCTGACCTACGGCCCCGCGGCCCCGCGGGCTCTTGCCAGTGTCGCGGTGGGTGGTGCGCAGGGCGCGCACCCCGCCAACGCCAAGACGGACTAGAAGTGCGTCGCCGACGAGTGCGGCGCGTCGCGGACCGCGCGCGGCTAAGCGGAGCGGCGGAGCGGCGCGATGGGAGAGCGGCGGCCGGCTAGAGGCGCTAGAGGCGCATGGGCACGCCCAGGCACTAGGCCGGCAGATAGAGCGAGTTAATTGACGCGCGCATGAGGCTTTATGAGGCGCGGCAGCCCGATGCCATCGCTCTGTCTCACTCGCACCCCATGGAGCGCACCGCGAGTGCGAGAGAGACGGAGGCGGCACTGTGTGGAGTCAGCCTGGAGGCCTACATGACGCCCTTTCCATGACCGAGAGGAGGAGAGGGGGAGGGGACTCGAGCCGCTCGGATGTTCAGTTGGCACAGTTGGCAGTGCACAGTGGGCCAGAAGACCGGTGCAGGCGGACAAAATTGTGACCCCACCAATGGATTGCTCTCCAGACGGGGAATCCATTGGTGGGGTCACACGCTCGGTTCGAGTCCTGTTTAGCGACTCTGGAGCTCAAAACGCGATTTAAGTTTGGTGCGCCGCCGCCGGCCTTCTGGCCCACTGTGCAGCGCCGGGCTGTGGGATTGTTGGCGGGCCTGGCGGCGGCAGGCGGTGGCCGGAACCAAAACAAATCCGCCGCGGCAGAGCCGGTAGCGCGGCGGGGCCCGGGCCGGCATCGCCGCCTTCGCCGACATGCCGAGCACCATGCTGGAGGAGTGGCACACCCCGGACCTGCGGCCCTACCGCCACGAGGTGCTGGTGGGGCCGTGGCAGGCGTCGCAGCACCTGCAGCGCGCGCGCCTCGACAAGTTCCGCGAGGACTACGAGCGCGGCGTCACGGCGCTGCAGAACAGTCGCCGCATGAAGGCCAACCTGCTGCGCGCGCAGAGCCTCGCCATGCCGGACGGGCTGCTGCGCCTCGGCGCCGTCGTGCAGGTGCTGGCGCCCGACATGCCCGCCTTCTCGCTGGCCGGCGGCCGCGGCCACCTGGGCGTGTTCCTGGCCGCCACCGTGGACGCCGCCGAGGTGGACCGCTGCCAGTTCCTCAGCGAAGGTAACGCGACGGTCTGTTTTGGAGCGAGGTCCTGGAGGACCCCGCACAGTGGGCCAGAAGACCGGTGGAGGCGGCTGAAACTCTTGACGCGTTTTGAGCTTCAGAGTCGCTAAACAGGACTCGAACCGACCGAGGGACCCCACCAATGGACTGCTCTTCGAATGAGGAGTCCATTGGTCCCCACCACGTTCAGTTCGAGTCCTGTTTAGCGACTCTGAAGCTCAAAACGCGACCGGGATTCCGACCGCCTCCTCCGGTCATCTGGCCCACTGTGCGCCGAGTGCGTAACCGCCGCGACGGCCGCCCCCAGGCTCGGCCATCCACGGCACGGCCCAGACCGAGCCCTGCGTGCGCAACGCGTGGCGGCTGTGCGCCGAGGACGGCACCGACCGCCTGGACGGCTGCCCGCTGCGCCTCGGGCAGTGCTTCACGCTCCGGGCCGTGGAGGCCGGCACCCGCTGCCCGCTCTTCGTGCGCGCCGTCTGCAACACCACCAACGAGGTCGGCTGCGGCCCGCCCAAGGTACGAGCGTGTTGCCCCCGAGCACTTGAGTCCCTTAGCCTGCCTCCGAGTCAACGCCCAGTAGAGGCGAGGTGAGGTTGGGAAACTTTTCAACACTGGCGCATCGCCTGGCATGTGGCAACACTGGGTCCGGAGCGCCTGCGAGGTAGGCAATGCTACCGCGCTGCGCGCACGCGTGCGGGCGGATTGCCTACCTCGCCGGCGCCGTGCCTCCGCGAGCGCGTCGCCGAGTAGAGTTTTGTCTCCAACGCGTCGGCTCGGCCTCTCGGTTTGCCCGCAGCTCGAGCTCAGCACCAACTGCGACACGTACTGCCGCTGGCGCGCGCTGCTCCCCGACAAGAACAAGCGCCTGGAGACGGATGGCGGCACCTTCCCGCCCAACATGAGGGTGGTGCTGCAGCACGCCGCCTCCTGCCTCAATCTGGCCGCGGCCGCGGGCGGCAAGCGCCACTGGGTGCTCACGTTCTTCGGCAGGGAGTGCCACATCGGCCTGCAGAACTACAAGGACCAGTACGGCCAGGTGCACCCTTCGTACAGTGGGCCAGAGGATCGGTGGAGGCGGCTGAAATTCTAGACGCGTTCGGACAGTCATTCATTGGCGGGGTCACACGTTCGGTTCGAGTCCCATTTAGCGACTTCGGAGCTCAAAATCCGTCCGGGATTTCGACCGCTTCCAACGGTCTTCCGGCAAATCCACTGTGGCGCGCCCTCTGCTCCGCCTCCCCGCGCCCCAAGCCGCGACGCCCAGCCCTAAAAGCTCGTCCTCGCGCAGCCCATGTCGGAGAACATCTGGGTGCTGGGGGCGCAGAGGCTGCGCGACAGGCGCTCCGAGCTGTCCTGCCCCGCGCCAGAGGTCTACCCCGAGCCCGAGCAGCCCGAGGAGCCGCCGCCACCGCCGGACCCGTGCCCAGTCGAACGCGCCTGCCCCCCGACCGCGCCGCCCCCGTGCCCGCCCCCGGAGCAGCGACTGTCGGAGTGCCCCGCCGACATGCCGTGCCAGCGCGACCTCAAGGTGGGCACCATGGTGGACGTGGCCTCGCGCTCGACGCCGTCCTCAACGTCGCGGTCCTTGCAGTGCGAGCAGATGCCCGCGCCGCACCCCTGCCCCGCGCCGCGCGCCCACCTGCAGCGCGGCGACAAGGCGTGCCCCCGCGACCCGCCGTGCCCCCAGGACTGCGCCTGCCCCGCCCGCGCGCCCTGCCCGCCCGCCAAGAAGTGCCTGCGCTGGAAGGACCTGCAGGACAACCGCATGTGGTGCTCGTGGCAGAAGTCGACCTGAAAGCTGCGCCAGCTGCGCCAGCTGGAGGGACATAAACGCACCTGACTGAGCGGCCGGATGCGTTCGTGGATGCTCCTCTCGGCGGCCTGCGCGGAGGGCGGCGGGTGGTCGGGCGTGGGCGGCTGCTGGTAGTGCGTGGGGCTGAGCGGCAGCTCGCGCAGCGGCATGCGCGAGATGGCGGGCGCGGGCAGCGCCATGGCCGCCGCGATGGGGGACACGTCCATCGAGTCCCTGCGCACCGTCACCAGCACCGGGATGGACGTGGGCTCGCAGTTCTCGTAGGAGCGCGCGCCGCCGCCGGGGCCGCGCGGCGAGTCGTGCACGCGGCGCAGCTTGCGTCGCGGGTTGATGGTGCGGATCGTCACCTCCTCGTAGGGCGACGCCTGCTCGGGCGCGCCGCCCCCCAGCGGCGTCCCCGGCGCCGAGCTCAGCACGCCGTCGTCCTCGATGTCGATGTGCCGGAGCTTCATCTCCACGTACTGGTCCGCGCTCTTGCCGCGCCGAAGGCTCGACGTGCCCCGCGACGAGTTGACGCTGCCCGGCGAGCCGGCTGTGCGAGAGAGAGAGACAAGACACGGGTTCAAATACCGCCAGGCAAACCCATTTTCCGACAGCAACTTTTCGTTTGGAGACTCACCGCCGCCCGACCGCGCCAGGCACAGGAACTCGTACGTCGAGTCCGCGGTGAGGTGCGTCGGCGACACCGACAGGTTCCTCCTGGGCGGCTTCTTCGGCGGCGTGGGCTGCAAGCGAACAGAGGATCGGTACAGCCACTGCCAACGCCATCAACCAGGACGCGGACTCCAGACAGCGCTTCGTCGCTCCGCCTCTCTCGCACCCCAACAAGTGCGAGAGAGACAGAGCGACGAACGCGCCGCACAGTGGGCCAGAAGGCCTGTGGAGGCGGCCAAAACTCCAGAGCTCCAGAGTCGCTAAAAGGGACTCGAACCGAACGTGTGACCCCACCAATGGATTGCTCTCTGAACGAGGAATCCATTTGTGGGGTCACATGCTGCGTTCGAGTCCTGTCTAGCGACTCTGGAGCTCAAAACGCGTCTAGAGTTTTGGCCGCCTCCACCGGCCTTCTGGCCCACTGTGCGCCGCTCGGCGTCGACACAGGGCGAGAGCGATACCCACGTCGCCTACCGAGATCCTGCACGTCGACCCGGGGCTGCGGCCGCCCATCGGCAGGTAGATGTTCTCGCCCCGTCGGTTGGAGGTGGACGAGGCCACGGACGACAGGCTCATCTGGTCCAGGTCGCGGCCGAAGCTCGACTCGCTCGCGCTGCGAACACACAAGGACCCCGTCAGTACGTTGCTTCAACGAAATCACTGCAGTGTACCGCCACCACACTCACATGGACATGGCGGACGACGGGTAGTGGTTCGGCGAGCACCCCCTGGGGGAACAGCCGCCGGGCGGGCCCATGGGCGAGGCGCCGCGCGGCGACGCGTTGTCGTACGGGCTGCGCGGGCTGTGGTGGCCCATGTCCTCGCCGTCGCTCGTGTCGCCGCGGCGCGCGCGGTGCCGCCGGATGAGCGCGTCGATCTCGTGGCTCACGTTGGAGGGGAAGTCGCGCAGCAGGTCCGAGACCGTCTTGCGGTTCGAGTCCCGGACGCGGAGGTCCACGCCGGCCGACAGCAGCGCGCGCGCCACCTCCACCTTGCCGTGCAGGGCGGCCTCGTGCAGGGCGGTGCCGGCCCCGGTGCGCACGTTCACGTCGACGCCCGCGTCCAGGAGCAGGTCGACCACGGCCCTGCAACCAGCAGCACACTCACTCCGTACAAAGAAAAACCAAATTTGAAAAACAATCAGCTTCAGAAAAATTCAAAACAAAAAAATGGATCGACTTTTCAAAAAATTGGATTAGCTTTGGAAAAAAATTAATCAAAAATTAACTTTCCCACATGTTTGACGTGACTGACCTGTGGCCGTTGCGGCTGGCGAGGTGGAGGGGCGTGTTCTGGAACATGGTGGAGGTGGTGGCGCGGTGGCCGTAGGGCTGCAGCAGCTCGGGGTGCGTCCGCACCAGCCGCTCCACCGTCTCCAGCCGGCCGTACTGCGCGGCCAGGTCCAGCGCGCTCTCCTCGCGCGCGTTGCGGATGCTGGAGTCGCACCCGTTCTCCAGCAGCATGGACACCACGGCGCTGTGGCCGTACTGGGCGGCGCAGTGCAGCGGCGTCTCCTTGGACCGCGTCTGGAAGGGCAGCCGTCAGTCGGTTAGGCACAGGCCGTTTGCAAACCACAGTGTGCCAGGAAACCAGTGGAGGCGGCCAAAACCCCGGACGTGTTTTGAGCCCCAGAGTCGCTAAATGGGACTCGAACCGAACGTGTGACCCCACCAATGGATTGCTTTCAGAGCAAGGAATCCAATGGTGGGGTCACACGTTCGATTCGAGTCCCGTCCCATTTAGCGACTCTGGAGCTCAAACCGCGCCTAGAATTTTGACCGCCTCCACCGGTCTTCTGGCCCACTGTCCGACGCCAAAAATGAGGAATGAGCACGGGCCGAGTCAAGAGGCCCGCCAAGAGGCGAGCGCGCCGCGGGGATAGGCAACGCGTCAACACCCGTGCGCACGGGGACACGCGGACCGAGGGTGGCCGAACCGACGGGCGCTGAGACGAGAGGGCGCACACGCACACAGCCTCACACACACAGGGGGCGTGCGTTTTCTATCCTTCACGCTCCCACGAGTGGAATAACGCACGCTCACGCTTATTACAAGCGGGAATATCGGCAGGCGCGGGGCGGGGCGGGGCGGGGCGGGCAGGTGGAGCGATGCGGTCACGTGTGATTCCGTTAATTGCAAACCGACTGAGTGTGAGGACGGCCCAGGCCAGGGGGTAGGGGGGGGTGAGGGGGGGGGTCATGGGAGCGGAGGAGCGCACGGCGGAAATGGGAGCACCGCGCGGCAAGGCAGCACGGCGGCACGGCGGCACCGCGTTGGCGGCCAGGAAGTGCGCGCTCGCGGACACACAGACGACGCGACGTCCGAGCAGCAGGCCCGGCCGGCCGGCCGCTCGAGTCCACTTTCTTTCCCTCTCCTCCTCCATCTCCGTCCTCCTCTCCTTCTCCCCGTTCCATCCTCGTGCGGCGCTCATTCGAACGAAAATAAGAAACGGGTTTGGTTTTGGCTGTACAAGCAAAAACCTCCCTTCGTACAGTGGGCCAGAAGACCGGTGGAGGCGGTCGAAATACTAGACGCGTTTTGAGCCCCCGAGTCACTGAACAGGACTCGAACCGAGCGTGTGACCCCACCAATGGATTCCTCGTTCGGAGAGCAATCCATTGGTGGGGTCACACGTTCGGTTCGAGTCTCATTTAGCGACTCTGGAGCTCAAAACGCGTCCAGTGTTTTGGCCGCCTCCACCGGTCTTCTGGCAAGTCCACTCACGAGTAGGTTGACGTTGGGCACGGAGGGGCCCTGGTGCAGCAGCAGCCCGACGATCTCGCCGTTGCCCGTCCAGGCGGCGAGGTGCAGCGGCGAGGACCCCTTGTCGTCCACCACGTTGCAGGAGGCCTCGTGGCTGAGCAGCATCGCCACCACGTCCCTGCGAACAGACTCCACTGTAAAACAGGCGGACAGAGAAAAAAAATTTGGCGCGGAGCCCTGGTCATGGAGGTGAAGGGCCTGTCCGTAAAGTACCCGCAAAGCCTTCGAGCCGAGCGCCGTCATGGAGGTACACAGTAAAAACTCTACGAAGGCATTCTACAATGCCTTCAGTTTCTTAGTAGTTATGAAGCAAATGCTTCGTTCGCTCCGGTCTAACCGCTGAGGCGCCGAGGTACGCCCCCGCCCGGCCTGTCCCTGTCCCGCCTGTCTGTCCGCAGGCCCGGTGGCTGGTCACTTCCACCGAGAGCTGCCAGGACAACCGGTACGACCTTATGGGGATGTGGTGCTGCGACGGCAGCGCGGCAGCGCCATCACTGGAGTGAGTTTCCGGTCTCTCCGTGCGACTTGTCCAGGCGGACCCGAGCCCAGCCGTCCAGCCAGACACTCTCCGGCCGGCCGGCGCAGACCTCGAACGGGACTCGATTCAGACACTCGACGGTTTGGTACCCACAGACTCCTCGTTCGATCGGAGGGGAATGCATTGGTGCACGTGAAACAGAGGTCAAGGCCTAAAGTCAAGTCCGCCGTCTCCACCCAAACCGACCTGCCTGCAGGTACTATCGGCCGTTTCCATCTACGTTTCCACTCGCTTCGCGCTTCGCGACGCGGGGCTTTGACAGAGCCGAGAAAAGCAATTGAAGCGGCCCAGACTTGCGCCTGCTTGGCGTGGCTTTGAGTCAAGTGACTCCAATAAAAACAATAAAGTTGAATGCAGATGGCTCGATAGCATTTTTTTTTTCGTCGGGTATATACTCACTTGTGGCCGTTGAGAGCGGCATGGTGGAGCGCGGTGTATCCGCAACTGTCTTGGACATTAGCGCCCGGGCCTCGGCGCAAACTGCAACAACAAAGACAATACAGTGTGAGAGTTTGTCGCAGCCGTGACTTTGAGAGTACGCTTGGGTGGATTGCACAGTGGCGCGTTGTCCAAGCAAGGTGTCAACAAGCATCGAACGAGTTGGAGACCGAGGGGGGAGAGAGAGGGGGGAGAGAGAGGGGGGAGAGAGGAGGGAGGGAGAGAGAGAGAGAGGAGAGAGAGAGAGGGAGGAGAGAGAGAGAGGAGAGAGAGAGAGGAGAGAGAGAGAGAGGAGAGAGAGAGAGAGAGAGAGAGAGAGAGAGAGAGAGAGAGAGAGAGAGAGATCTTAATTTGGCCGTTGATGCGCCGCCCCTCGCAGTGTCGCAGCGACCGTGCGTTATTGCGGGCCATACCAGCCGAGTGGGCGGCGAGGCAGTCTGTCTCTCTCGCACTCGCGGGGCGCCCCGTGAGGGTGCGAGAGAGACGGCGCGACGAAGGAGGGCACACTGCGGAATCGGCCTGCCGCGCGGCGCGGTGCGGGGAATGCCAGACCAGCACATGCCCGCACCCACGGTGTAGGCACCTCACCCCAGCCCCCTCGCCGGCCTGGCCCGGCCTGGCCCTCGCAGGACACAGACGCCCCGGCAGGCTGGCTCGGCACAGCGCTCTGTCTCTGTCGCACTCGAGGGCCGAGACACGCGAGAGAGACAGAGCGACGAAGCCGCTGCTCGTAATGAGTGGTCCGGCCGCCCGGTCCGCCCCTGTGGCTCCTTAAAAATGGACCAAAGCCTCCACTCGACTCGACTCGATGACCGGGCCGGGCGGTCCGGCCGGGCTGGCCCTCTTCGAGCCTCGGGCTTGCTTGGCTTGCCCACGCCCTTGCCTACGCCCCGCGACGGTCCGCGGTCCGTGCGCTCAGAGCAGGGGAACAATTTCAACGTGTATACATCCTTTTCAGTCCACCAAGTGCACAAAATAATTCTTTAAAAAAGCAACTTTCCGAAAGTAAAAAGTTACACAAATCAGCATAATGTTGCCTGTTCGTTTCGACGCCCATTCTCGAGTTGTTTTCTAGTTCAACTTTTAATTTGACTTGGGTCACGCGCGACTCCCTACTCTGGCTGTGACGCCACCGCCACCGTGACGAGTGCCTGGGGCCGCCTGGTCGTTGCCTCGTTTTAGCACCCTATCAGCGGGGCGCGTCCCGCAAGCCTCGCCGCGGGTGCGACAGAGACAGAGCGCCGCCGGCTGACGCTTCAAGTGAAATGACGCAGCCCGGTGTGTAGTGCTCTGGGCCGCTCGCCAGACGCCCCGCGATAGCACCCCGACGCATGACGCTGCACAGCCTGCACGCACACTGCACAGCGCCTCTGTCTCTCTCGCACCCCTTCGGCCCCGGCCCACAGTGGGCCAGAAGCCGGTGGAGGCGGCCAAAACTCTAGACGCGTTTTGAGCTCCAGAGTCGCTAAATGGGACTCGAACCGAACGTGTGACCCCACCAATGGATTCCTCGTTCGGAGAGCAATCCATTGGTGGGTCACACGTTCGGTTCGAGTCCCATTTAGCGACTCTGGAGGTCAAAACGCGTCTAGAGTTTTGGCCGCCTCCGCCGGTCTTCTGGCCCACTGTGCCCCGGCCCACGAGCGTGTGCGAGAGAGAGACAGAGACACCAAGCAATCCGCCGGCGTCGGTCTCCTGTCTGCCTCTCTCGCCCCACGAGTGCGGAGCGACGTACTGTGCCGAGCGTCCCGTCCGCGTGGAGGGACGGTCCCCGCGACGCGGCGCGGCCAGCCAGGCCAGCCAATAAGGCGGATCGAATTCGAACAGGCCGGCTGGTGCACTGGTACCGGCAGGTGCACGGCGCCAGGGCGCCACGCCACGGCCCGACGTCGTGCAGCCACGCGGCCCAGGCAGGCAAGCAGCCAAGCAGCAGACTTCCGAGAGTCGTTTTCGCCGCGCTGCCTCCCTCGCACCTGTACGGGACGCCCCATGATGGCGCAGCGGCTCTCGGCATCAGTCTGCAGGCGCAGGCACGCGCTTGGCAGGGGCCGGGCCGGCCGTCAGCAAGCAGGCCAAGCAGGTCGACATGACTGACCTACTTTTCTTCTCCGCCGCCCCTCAAAGAGTTGTCAATCCAATACCGGCGCCGCCCCACCCCCCGCTCCCGCCGCAGCCCGCGGCAGCTTCTCCAGGTGGATCTGGCGGTGGGGGGGGGGGGGGGGGCACGGTGACACAGGGCGCGCGGGACACGCCGCCACGGCACCACGCCCCCACGCCGCCACCGCCACCAACAACAAGATATCGGCCAGCCAGCGGGCCTAGGCCAGGCATCCGAGCATGTCTCTGTCTCTCCCGCACCGCAACGAGTGAGGCAGGGCGTGCGGTGCAGGCTGCAGCACACGCTGCAGCACACGATGCAGTGCGTGCGGACGAAGGTCGCGTCCGTCATTCCGCGATGGCTGTGATGGCTGCGATGGGAGGCCGGCGCCGATAGGCCGATAGGGCGATAGGGCACGGAGCGGCGCGCGGCTTGGCGCGGCGAGAGGCACAGAAGCACAGCGCTATCGCCTCGGGGGCCGTCGCCAAACGGCACCACACTGCGCCAAACGGCACCACACGGCCGGCCCAAACCCGTTATTTGTTGCACAGTGTGATAACGCGCGCGGAGCACCGCGACGCCGTGGCCGCCACGCCGGCTCCAAGGCCCAGGGCCGCCTGCCCAGCAGACTGATTTCCGAGAGTCGTTTTGGTCGCTCTGTCTCTCTCGCACTCATGGGGCGAGCGAGACAGAGCGGCGAGAACGACTATCGGAATCAGTCTGCAGGGCTGCCCACGGCGGCCCAGGGTCCGTACGTCAAGCAGCCCCACCAGTTGGTGCCCCCCCCCCCCTTACCTCCCCCCCCCCCCTTACCTCCCCCCCTCCCCCTTCCTTCCCGCCCTGGAACTTCCCTCATGGCCACACAAAAAAAGCAAACCTGCCAAATCAAAAAACAAGGTAGCTTATGGATGGTCCCTGCATCTGCCCCAGTTTCACACAAATCTCATTTAATACCAGATGGCCTGGTGAGTCAGCAGTGCTCAAATCCAGACCCGATGCAGAAAACGTTTCAAGAAATCCAAAGCTCCGCAAGTTGGATGTTGTGAACCCAGACACGTGCACAGGAGATCACATCACATGTAAGGACATAACCTAAGAGTAGATGTATCAACCAACTCTCTGAGATTATTTACGATCAATTCTGTAGCGATAGAACATAACAAAATCACCACTTAGAGGTCAACTTGGAGAGTTCCTTCATGACAGTAAGGACATGGTAAGGCATTAAAGAATTTCACAAACAGGAAAGCAGCGGAGAAGACAGAGGAACAACTGTCTTCCATCAATTATTGCAAATCCATGTAGGTACAATAATGTATTCCATAACCTCTTCACAAAATAACATCACTTCAGGACGTCAACAAAAAGATTATGAAACAAATGAAACCAACCTCACTCTTCACAAGTTCCATTTACAAGACACTTCATCGTTTTCATCATCAGCACAAAAATTTTAAACACTTGGGTTTGTAGCAGAAGACATGTAACATTCCCTGTAGCACAATTAAACTTTGACCCCCACAAACATTTTCCACAAACGAGCAGACGATTTCCCCAAATTAGTCATGCGGTCTGAAAGCTCCAGTCCAAAGAGTAGAGCGTAACGTTTCCTGAAAAATGAGACTTGCTCCGAAAGGGTGTGTTTACCTCCCACAGGCCTTCCTAACCTACACCACTTTACTTTGTGGATATCCGCGTCTCCTTGACATAAAAACAGCACAGACAGGTCGGCGAAACGTCCACTGGGCCGGGTCACATCACGAGGGCAACACCGCCTGGCGTAAACCAGCCTCAAACCAAGACGGGAGCGATAATTAGTCCTTTTTTGACACTTCTCACCTTGCTAAAGGGCCACTCCTCTTGGCTCTCTGACTGAGGATTTTTTCGACGACCGCTAGGTTTCCGTTTCGTGCCGCTTCCAGGAGGTCCTGATCCTTGCCCATGGCCCATCAATTTCACTTCACTTCGCCAAACGATGAGACTGCACTCCGAAATTCCACATTTTCCCCAACATAATTCAGTGTTCATTGATCCGTAGCTGCCATGATGCTGATACTAAAGGCAGGGCGGCTGCTGTTTTGGAAAACAAGCGACTGTCGACTGGGCTGGGCCGACTTCCCCGCCCCCTCTCCGACCCCCTTTCCCCTTCATCCCCCTCCCCCCTCCCCCTTCCCTCTCGGTGCCCTACGCCACTGTTTGTGTTTATCGTGTCGAACGCTGCAGAAGGGAAGAGAAGATGTAGATCGCATCCCCGGAAAGGAGAGATTTCACTCTTTGGCGATGTCCGCGAAGCTGGGAGGCATGAAGCTGCAGCCGAGTCGGGGCTGGGAGGCGTATATTTTGGTTTGCCTGGCCATTCTTTTGTCGGGCACGGTTGGAGCATCCCTCGTCAGAGGTCAGTGGATGAGTGGCGCTGGATTTTCATTCAAGATCCCCATTGCGAGAGTGTCAGAGTCTGCCGAGTGGCTGTCAAGGCAGTACAGCGGTTTTGTACACTCCTCTCGAGGTTAAGGGCGATGCAACGATTTTACCCGCACCCTCTTTCGCTTTGTTCCCAACGAAAACCTAACCTAAGTTTGACAGGTTATGACGCCCTTGATTTGCAAGTTATATAACGTCTACCTTCGTTCCTTTTGCCATATGATGTCCTTTAAAATTTAAAGAAGTTCTTCTCAAATCTTTTAAATGTCTTATTTGAAATAATACTTTGTTTGTTGTTTATAGTCTATGATCATAATTACTTATCATTGTGTTTACTTCTTTTGACAGGTGAAGATGGCCCGGTTACGATGTCTCTTGAGTATTACAACCCAGCGAATCAAAGCACTTGGGTTTTCGATATACTTAACCCTCTATCGACTAAAGCGATCTACGTGCAATCTACACCATTCGATGTTGTCTTTTACACCTTCCAAGCCCACTCGTACTTGCAGAATATTTCCTTGTCATACAACAGTACACTCATTGATCACAGTCATGTAAATGGCACAAACTTGGGCCTAGTATGGAAAACTAAACAAGGTGCAGGTACATTCTATGTGACCAATTCGAACCTTGAGAATGTTACTGTGATGTACGCTATCGTCGCATATGGAGCCTATTGTAAGTATGATTTGACACTTATGTGTTATTTGAGTTCGGACTGAGTTCCATATTGATAATTTGCTGCATTTTCATAGCGCCTGTGCCGGGTGGATGTAACATGGAGTTTGAAGTTGAAACGGCTCCCTATCTGAAAGTTGGGTACAATAATGCTATGATCCAAGTGGATTTCCAGCCAGCACAGTATCCTGGTGCGTCTTGCACCAGTGAAGCTGTGACACATGATGTGTACCATATGTTTATGTATGAAAGAGAATTTTCAGAAGAGGCATATTTCCTTGCCATCCAAGATATGCTCATTCCAAGTGGTGCCATTGCCAATGGATTATTGGTACGCGTTTGAGCCCCTCTCATTTCTTGTATTTGTTTCCTTACCACAGCCCTTTGATTTCAACTAAATTTTTGACCCTGCTCAGGCTCCAGTCCCGGTGTACGGCTCTGTAATGAGAAGGTTGTTCAGCTTGTATGCAGGCACAGGCTCTGTATATGTTGTGGTAGCGCAAACCCTCACTGGAGCGTCAGCTTATGTACCTGCCGTGACTTACGGTTGCAGTTCTGTGTATTTCTCAGACTCCTGCACAGTCCTTTGTAAGTAATATTTTTAAATATATTGTTGTTTTTCCTTGTAATAAGTGATCTAATATCTGACTTTCTTTTTCTTAAAATTTGTTTTGTTGTAGCTACAACATTTTCCAAAGTTCTATGTGCCTGTGTGCTATTCCTTGGACTTTTTGCGTGTTTTGGAGGACACACCTTTTTTCGGTCGCAAGTCTTTCTGGCTGGCTTCCTGTCAGGAAGTCTTTTGGCTTATGTAGGACTGACCCAATGGACTCCTCTTCCCTTCGGTTGTAAGTTTTTGTAGTATTACAAATTCATGGCGGGGAAAAAAGATGACGGCATGTTATGGCAGTCATATTGTTTTGTTCTTTCTGTTCCAGCCGGAGTGACCCTTTCTTGCGTGGTAGGCCTGGGCGTAGGTGTGCTCTGTCTGCTGCTTTGGTACCTGTGTGGCATTCCCGTGATTGCCATCCTGCATTTGGTCATTCCACTGGGATTCCTGGTTGCGTCTATTGTATTCTATGCTGGACTTGGTTCGTGAATGCACTAGATTGGCTCTAATTTCCAGTTGAAAACTGTTAGAAAAGACAATCCGGCTTGAACGTGTACCTGTTTTCCCTCCAGGTGACTTCCAGTTTGCCCAGCTGGACCTGGACTTCTGGCTGACGTTCCTGGTGGTCATGCTGACCGTGGTGGTGTTGATGGTGCCGCTGCTGGCCAACGCCAGCATGGTGTCGTGCGCCGTGGTGGGCGCGTACACTGCCGTGGTGCCCCTGGACCACTACCTGGGCTCCAACCTCAAGTACATCGTCATCAACACCCTGCGGCGCGCGTCGGTGCCGGGCTTCTCGCTGGCCGTCATCCACCCGCCCTTCCAGGCCACCGGTACGTCACAGCACAGTTTTCAGTTCGTTAAAAATAAAAAAAGTTTGGTGAAAAATAGTGTTTCAAACTTGACTTGCTCCTCGCTCCCAGACGGCATGCTGGTGCTAGCGTGGGCCCTGCTGGCCGTCATCGGCCTCCGCTCGCAGCAGATTCGGCAGACGGGGCGGCCGCCCTTCCCGCCCTCGTCCCGGGGCCCGCCGCCCCTGTCGCTGCCCAGTGGCCTGACGGGCAGGACGGGCACGGCGGCCACGGTGCGCACCCCCATCCGCGTGGCGTCGCGCATCCCCTACCGCTACGGCTCGGTGGGCGACGACGACGTGTTCGAGACGCCGCCCGGCCAGGCCGCCCAGGGCGGCTCGGTGCCGCGCGCCGTCATGGACTGGTTCGGCTCCGGCTGTGGACTCCGCGGCCGATGAGCGCCACCACACTGGGGTCCCAGAGCGTCCCGCAGCGTGGGCACACTGGCAGGGCACTTCAGGCATCCAGCGCCCGGGCCGCCTCAATCAATTCTGTGATAGGATCCGTCTTAAACCATCGACTTTCCCGGTGCTCGAAAGTGCTAACGTAATTTTGGGCTGTGCTATTGTCTTCAGCTTGTGACTGTTTTAGCTGTATTGCCTCCCTTTTTTATATTTTTTTATTAAAAAATAAATCTGCACCTTTGTTTTGTCTAGTTTTGTAGTTGGTTTTTGTTATACACTTGTGTGAAATGTTGGAATGTTGCTTTGAGAGAGGAGAGAGAGTGTCGCACCCAAGTGTGACATTTTACTGTTTTATCATTGACTTAGAAACATGGTCCATTAGCTCAGAAAAAGGCTGAAATTTGGTTTGCCTAGCTCAGTAATTGTGTTCAAAAGTTGGTTTATCTACTAGTGGCCAAAGAATGCTCATCATTGTAATTTTAGCTTAACGAATTGACTACATAGTTTATATTTAACTCATGTTCTTTCACATATTGCAACGAACATTTATTCTAAGTCAGTTTTAGGTGTTATCGACATAAAATGTGATGGTCTATATTTTTCTACCAGTTTACAAATCCATTGTGTAGGTATATATAGGTGGTTTTGTCAAAGATACTCCCTTCCTGTTTTTCTGTTAAGGAATTATATTTTTGCTATGAAACTTTAAAAAAAATTTAATGAAATAACATAAAACAATGTCATCTAATAAAGAAATAAATCCCAAACATAAATTGTGAATATACTTTTTTATTCTTCCTACACATGCTAAACAGCAATGTCCATAACATAAATTATCATAATCACAGCAATATATATTATTGACAACAATTAAATTGTGTATCGAATAAGGAAATAAAACATTTTTGGATTGACAAAATTTACAAAACATCTACACATCTCGAAAAAAAAAAAGTATTTACAATGGTGAACTCTGCTGTTATTTTAAGTTTGTACAGATGTAAAGTTCATATTGCAGGTTCAATGGAAATGATCATCACAAGAACTGTACTTGCATCTATTAAAATGTTCGTACATAGGTTACTCATAGTATACATACAGGTGTACTTATACTTTCCAGATTGTACATTAAATGAGACTCTGTGCTTTGTGTTTGAGACATAAAATACAATCAAAGTAAGTTAAATATATTTTGACAAAGACACATAGCTAGTTAAAAGGATTTACACTCATTCTCTCAATTCACAACTTTACATATTGTATTTACAATGATGACTTTTTGCACTTGGTAAGCATAGACATTGAACAACATCGAAATTCTACAAGTAACAACTCTACACTAATTTGCGCTTAACTTCAGCTTCGTTTCATTCATGAGGAGGCAAGGCCCCGAGGGACCGGTGCCCAGACGAGGCAACCTGCGTTGGCCGCCGTGGGCACACTGGATGCAGTGAATCGAACAGAAAAATATCAGCCGAGATCGGCGCACGCCACCCATTCGAATTAGTAGTAACAATTATTATTGGAATCTATTCAAATTGCGAGTTAAAAACAAACACACGAATCCATATTTTTACGCTGTACCTGACGAAGATTACAAACGATAGCGGAAGGCGGGAGCTCCGCGCTCCAATCGTACGAGGGTTCCGAGCTGGGGCGCGAGGGGAGGGGAAGGGGACGGGCCCCCACTCCCCCTGGCAACGCCAAGGCAACGCCAAGGCAACGCCAAGGCAACGCCACCTCCGCCCCGAGTGGGAATATCACAAAACTTGTTTCAAACTAACACCGTCCGCGTGCCTCCACTGCGCACTGCTCGCACTGCTTCACAGCGCACCCTGGCCGAAGCCGCCGCAACTCGAGGCGCTGGCCGCGCTGGCCGCGCTGGCACTGGCCGCGCTGGCACTGGCCGCGGCCCTGGTGGGGCCGAAGTCCTGCTGGTGGTGGTGCAGGGCCTGTGGCGGCGGGGGCAGCAGCCTGGCGGCGGTGGCTACCGCAGCTGCCGTGGCGGCGGACAGCCCGGACAGGCCGGACAGCCCGGAGACGCCACCGAACAGCTGCGACAGCTCGGATCACTGGAGCCGCGGCCAGCAACTGTAGTCCGCGCCGCCCTGGCTGGGGATCTGCACGGGCACGGACACGCCGGCCGAGATGACGCCTGCAACGAGAAGAGACAGGGGTGAGTCCAGGTTTAAGGTTTAAGGATGGACGCTCAACGAACGGCTCTGTCAAGCACGAGCCTCTCACTGTTACTTAGTGAGGTTGATGGGCAACACAGGGGGCCCTTAGTCCGCAGAGTGTGGTTCCGAAGAGCCACACTCCGCTGCGCGCGTACGACTGGGCTGACTGTCAACCTTGTGGTACAGTCGGGGTTTCCACCCTGCCAACGGACGCGGCACCAAATTTTCATCTTAGTGACGTAAGACATGGTGACTCACCCGTGCTGGTGGGCACCGAAGAGTGGGCGGGGCCGTAGCCGGCGTGGTGGCTCTGGTGGCTCTGGTGGGCCATGCTGGGCGCGCGGGGGTTGTAGGCCGCGCCCGCCAGCGAGTGCAGCGGGTCGTGGTGGAACATGTAGGGGTAGCCGGACACGTGGGAGGACAGCTGCGGAGCGTGCGCCTCGCGTTGCTGCAGGCAGCTGCCGTTCATCGAGGACATGCCGCTGCAACAAAAACAACAACAACGTGCGTTAGCGCGCGTTAGCGGGCGCAGTGTAGACAAGGAGAGTGGGAGCGCCGTGCAGGTAGGCAGCACCCTGGGTTGGACGCACGCCTGCGCGGCGCGTTGCCTACCCTCGCAGGCGCCGTGCAGGTAGGCAGCACGCTGGGTTGGACGCACGCCTGCGCGGCGCGTTGCCTACCCTCGCAGGCGCCGTGCAGGTAGGCAGCACGCTGGGTTCGACGCACGCCTGCGCGGCGCGTTGCCTACCCTCGCAGGCGCCGTGCAGGTAGGCAGCACGCTGGGTTGGACGCACGCCTGCGCGGCGCGTTGCCTACCCTCACAGGCGCCATACCCGTTGGCTGGCCGCTGTCGCCGAGGCCTTCTCCTTTCTGCCGGACGGCCGCCATGCCGTGTCCGGGATAAGGCTTCGGGGCGGCTTCCCGGGGCCAGCGTGCCGCCCCGCCACTACCCCGCCACCGCGCCGCACGCCCGCGACCTCCGCGCCGCCCCCTTGCCCCGCAACGCCCCGCAACGCCCCGCCAGCAGCGAAGTGAACGTGACCAGAGTAGCGACGCGGATCGAGCCCCTCTCGTGTCAACACGGGCTCACCGCTGTCAGCCCGAGGCGCGGTGGGGCGTGGCGGGGCGGGGCGCGGTCGGTGGAGGCTGCTACAAGACGGCCATCGAGTGCCTCGGGCGCTACTATCCAAGGCGTCGGCGGTGGCGACGAAGCTCGCCTCTCGGCGCACAGCTCTACACGCGTTTTGAGCTCCAGAGTCGCTACATGGGGCTCGATAACCGAAACTGTGATCCCACCAGTGGATTGCTCTCCGAATGAGGAATCCATTGGTGGGGTCACACGTTCGCTTCGAGTCCCATTTAGCGACTCCGGAGCTCAAAACGCGTCTAGAGTTTTGTCCGCCTCCGGTCTTGTGGCAAATCCACTGTGCGTTCGCAGAGTCCCCCGCTCACCTGTAGCTGTCCGCCATGCTGGCGATGGGCTGCGGGATGCCGGAGTACATGGAGTTGAAGCCCGAGTTGATGTTGAGCCGGGTGACGGAGGCGCTGCCCGGGGCCGTGGACGACGAGGAGCCCGCCACCACGGAGCTGGAGCTCGGCGGGCCCGGCGACACGCCGCCCAGGCCGCCCCCGACCGCCCCCGTGGGGGTGGTGGTGGGGGTGGCCGAGCCGCCGCCGCTGGAGAGGCCCACGCCCTCCGCCGGCCGCCGCTGCCCGCGCACCTTCTCCTCGCGCCGCCACTTGGCGCGCCGGTTGCTGAACCACACCTGCAAACGTAACAATTTGCAATTTGCAATTTGTAACACTCTACTCCTCCCTGCCTGCCCCATAGTGTCCATAGCACAAACAATGACATGCCGTTCACTACGGCACGCAAAAACCGTCCTTGCGTTGGAGAAGCAGTGTTCAATGTAGACTGGCAAGGTTTTTTTTAATGTTATCGATTTTTCAACTTTTTGTGTAAAAATAAGTATGAAATCAATTTGTCAACATTCCGATGATGCTTCCTGTCAAAGTGAACCAAGACTCGACCCCGAGTTCCACAATGCACGTGAACTGCGATTGAACCAAGCTGTGTCGTGTCCCCTCGGGATTGCGAGGTCGCGAGGTCCAAGATACACAAATAATTAGATGGCCCGTCCGGGAGTCCTTCCTTCCTTTTGAGGCGCGCGCTCTTGGCGTGGCCGCGCGGCTCGGGCCGGCGGGGTCACTCTGTGTGGACCGGAGCCATCCACTGTGAGGGGCACGCCTCGGTGCGCAGTGCAGGACGCTGCTTTGGCAGTGTCTTTGCATGGAGTAGCCTGGAGTAGCCTGGAGTAGCAGGATGCGCCCGTCGGCAGCACAGCGCCCCGCCCCGCCACGCCACGCCCTTTTGTCCAGGCCGAACCGGGAGGGTCCATCTGGAGGCAGTTCTAGCTTCCAGCAGCTTCCAGCGCCCCGAGTCCACGGCCACTCGGCGCCACACGGCCAGGCAGGCAATCAGACACGGCGCACCAGCTGAACACGAACAGCCCTGTGTGTGTGTGTGTGTGTGTGTGTGTGTGCTGTCTGTGTGACGGTGTAGGTGTACGTACGTACGTGTCTGTCGGTGTGACTGTGTGTGTGACTGACGTTCAGGCATGGCGGAGGCCGGAACAGCGACGGGCGCCAAGTTTTTAATACCGCTGAAAGCACAACGTGGGTTGCATGCGCGCGTGCGCCCCGCGCGCACCCACACCAGCACACACCCGCACGCACACACACACACACTCACACCCACACAGGTTACGTCGATATTCACGTTTAACGCATGGCCGATGTCTCTGTAAGGGCCTTTTACGAGTGTAGCGTCGGCTCTATTCAGGGACCAGCCCCTTCTTTTGCTTTCTTTTCATCCCTTCGCCTCACTCGGCCCCCGCCGTGTGTGTGTGTGTGTGTGTGTGTGTGTGTGTGTGTGTGTGTGTGTGTGTGTGTGTGTGTGTGCGCGTGAGAGGGAGAGAGACAGAGAGTGAATGTGTGTGAGTGTGTGTGTGAGCGCCAGTCCTTTTCCAGGCGTTGCCGGGCGTTGCAGGGATCCGCCCTTGGAGGGAGAGGCACGAGAGATGGAGACAGAGATAGAGGAAGGGATAAGGGAGAAAAAGAGCAACATATGATGAATGCGGACGGAGCGGCGCGGCCCGTTAAAAAGGCGAAAAGGGGATGCACCAATGGCGGCAGCGCGGAGTCCGACGGACGGGCAGACAGACGGACAGACGGACAGGCATGAAGACGGACGGGCAAGGAGAGGGTGGATGTATAGAGAGATGGCCACACGGTCCCTTTGACGCTCGGCTCGGCTCGGCTCGGCTCGCCATTGCGAGGGTTGGTTTGGCCAGGCCGACTGGCATTTCAGGGCGAACTCTTCCCTTGATGAGAAACGCATCCGCGCACCAGATAGACAAGGACAAGTGCCAGGCCGGTTGCCCCATTTTATCTAGTGTCCACTACACTGTGCTGGCAAAGAGCATCCATGAAAGGATTCACCAGTGACGGGGAGTGCGCGGCGCGCAGCGCCACTGGTCACATTCCTTTCATTAAATTAAGTCTCATTTTAGATTGATTGCTCGAAAAATAAATTGACTACTGGAACTAGGTTTTAAGATCGTCTCCGGAAAGTATCAGTGAACTTTGCGCAGGAAGAAAAATTAATTTATCTGTAGTAGCTAAAGGGAAAAAAATAGCTGATGTTTGTTTTTGTGTTTTGCTTGTTTGGTTTTTCTCCCGCTGTCTCCCAGAAAATGTTGGCAACACTGCGCCTGACGGTGTTCTGCATTGATCCTCTCTTCCCACCACGACTCACTCTCTCACTCTCTCTCTCTCTCTCTCTCTCTCTCTCTCTCTCTCTCTCTCTCTCTCTCTCTCTCTCTCTCTCTCTCTCTCTCTCTCTCTCTCTCTCTCTCTCTCTCTCTCTCTCTCTCCGCGCGCTGGTCCGGGCGTAGCACCGCTTAGCCGAATATTAGAGTTGTTACAATATTTATCCAGGGTGTGTACACAACTCGGCGATGTCATTATGAACGTAGTGGCGGCCTGCGGGCTGCTTCTGCACTGCGCCTTGTCGCTGTCTCTCTCGCACCCCCGCGGCCCACCCCATGAGTGCGAGGGAGACGGAGCGACCTCTCGGGCCGGTCGCTGTTATTGCAACGGATGCAGCGCGCCAACCGGGCCAACCGGGCGGAGGGGGAAAAATAGCGGATCTCTCGGCTCAGCGGGGCGCACCTACACTGCAGGCTCGTGTTCGTCTCTCTTGCACTCACGCCTGAGAGTGCGAGAGAGACAGAGAGCGACTCCCGGAATGAGTCTGCCGCGTACGTCCATCGAGTGGGGCAATAACAATCAACAATATGGTGCGGTTCGCCCTGTTTGCAGTCACCTCGACGCGGAGCGACGCGGAGGCCGGGGAATGAGTTTGTCTTGTTTTCGCACTCGATCTGAACTTTGTTGGGGGATTCATGAGAGATTCGGCCACACACTCCAACTTTCTGACCCGGTGAGATGCCGCCGCTGCAGAGGGAATAGGCTCGTCGTTGTTTTTGGCGTTGGACCTTGCGTCCGTCCCAAATTATTCTCGACGTTTCCTGACCGTCATTTTTCACCGGATATGCTTCATTGTTTCTTTATTTTTGAAACTTTTTGTTCTCTTGTTTTGATGTTGTTGATTTGTTTTGTTTTTTATGTTTTGTTTTTCAAAGTTTTGTATTTTATGTTTATGTTTTTTTTTTCAGGGGGAAGCAGCACGTACCTGTATCCTGGCTTCGGGCAGTCCTATCTTCTCCGCTAGCCGCTCCCTGGCGAACACGTCGGGGTAGTGGGTCCGCTCGAACTCTGCAACAGGATGAGTCAAATCAACTCGAGCTAATCAACTCGACGACGCCGCTTTGTTGTTGTTGTTGTTTTTGCTGCTGCGAAAGTGAGTGTCGGTGTTATTAATTGGTATCCGCGACACGCCACGGCTCGCCAGTTTCCGCCCGAGTAGACCGCATTGCCTGGCTCCGCATGCTTTGCCTGGCTTTGCCCGCATCGGCGGCATTATACGCAGAGCGCGCGCGTCGCTTGTCGCTTCCGCTTCGCGCGGTCTCGCCTCGCTCGCTCGCCAGCTTCGGTTTGCGCGCCGATTTCACAAATCCGTCACGGTTCAAAAACTCTCTCTCCAGTGCACTTGTTTCATTTAAGTTTGGCCGCGGCGACGCGTTTGATGACGGCCACATAACTCGTGCGCGTTCGCGCCGGTTCGCGTGCTCGCCGACCTAACCTAAAAACGAAGACGGTAAAAGAAAAGCGCGGCAAAAAAGCGCGCCAAAAAAGCGCGCCACAAAAGCAGGCAAAAACAACGCGCCAAAAAAAGCGCGCCAAAAAAAGCGCGCCAAAAAAAGCGCGCCAAAAAAGCACGCCAAAAAAAGCGCGCCCAAAAAGCACGCCAAAAAAAGCGCGCAAAAAAAAGCACGCGAAAAAAGCGCGCGAAAAAAGCGCGCCAAAAGAGGCGCGCCAAAAGAGGCGCGCCAAAAGAGGCGCGCCAAAAGAGGCGCGCCAAAAGAGGCGCGCCAAAAGAGGCGCGCCAAAAGAGGCGCGCCAAAAAGCGCGCCACCACGCAGGGCTCTACTACTCACCTTTCTCGAGGCTGTCTATCTGCTCGTTGGTGAAGGACGTCCGATTCCGCTGCAGCTTCCGCTTCAGCTTGAGCCGGTCCGTGAGCTGGGAGTCGTCGTCGCCGTCGCCCGAGGAGTTGTGCTCCGAGTTGCCGTCGGAGCCGCCGCCCTCCTGGGACAGGTCACCTGCGGGCACCAAGCATGCCGGTCATACACGGTGAACGAAAAGTAAAAACATCTCCGACAGGTACTGAAGTCAGTGAAATGTCGAAACCACTGCAAATCTGCATCGATTTCCAACGCGCGTGAATTCGGGGGTGTAGGACACGCGTCGCCCCGCCGCGCTGAGCGGGGAGGGCCGGAGGGGGGCACAGGTCCGTGAGTAAGAGATTAATTAGACACGATCGAAGAGGGAGAGAGAAAGAGAGCCGGCGTGAGCGGTGCGAGAGAGAGGGCAGACTCGCTGGGGCTGAGGGTGCTTCATCCCCCGCTGTGCGCGCAAGTTGACCGTCGCCCCCAGCTCGCCGTGGCACGCCGTGGCACGCCGCCCCGAACGGCGCCAAGCAACCAGCAAGCAGGTCGCTTTTCCCCTCCCCTCCCCCTTCCCCTCCCCCTCCCCCTTCCCCTCCCCTCCCCTCACGCACCGCTAATTAAAGGCCCAGCAGACTGATTTCGAATGTCGTCGCTCTGTCTCTCTCGCACCTAAACGGCGCGCTCCGTGAGTGCGAGAGAGACAGAGCGACGAAAAACGACTCTCGGAATCAGTCGGCAGGCATACGCAGGCCGTACGCAGCCGTGAGAATAAAAGAGGAGGGGGAGTGCCAATAATATAAAGCCGTGCGGTCTCATCACACGCGGCGCGGCGTGCGCGGCGCGGGCCGCGGGGGCGATTCCGAACCTTCGTCGCTCCGTCTCTCTCGCACTCGCGGGCCGGGCCGGAGGGGTGCGAGAGAGACAGAGCGGCGACGGTTCGGAGGGCGACTCGCGGCCGCGGGGGAGCGTTCCGTGAGCACTGCTCACCTGGCCGGCTAAGTGGCGCCGCCCCGTGCGCCGCTTTCGTCGCTCCGTCTCTCTCACACTCGCGGAGCGTGCCGTGGGCGCCGTGAGGGTGCGAGAGAGAGAGAGAGAGAGAGAGAGAGAGAGAGAGAGAGAGAGAGTGCGAGAGAGAGAGAGAGAGAGAGAGAGGGAGGAGAGAGGGAGAGGAGAAGAGAGAGGAGAGAGGGAGGGTGCGAGAGAGAGAGAGAGAGAGAGGGAGGGTGCGAGAGAGAGAGAGAGAGAGCGAGAGAGAGCGGCCAAGTGCGCGGAACCAGCCTCACACCACCTGCGCTGCCTGCACTGCAACCCCCATGCTGCTCTCTGCTCGTCATTGCTTTTTCATTGGACGAGACGGGACGGGACGGGACGGGGAGCGTATATAGAAAGTTGCCCTATCGACTAAGACCACCGTGAGGGAGATTGCGTGAACGGGGAGGGGAGGGGGAGGGGAGGGGAGGGAGGGGAGGGGAGGGGAGGGGAGGGGAGGGGGAGGGGAGGGGAGGGGGAGGGGAGGGGGCGTCCTTTTCCCTCCGTTTCCGTCTTGCCGTCTTTCCGCGCCCAACTCGCCGATTTCGATCTAAACCGCATCAGGCGAAGGGAAATGAGGACCTGGCTTGTAATGCTTCGCGACGCGGAAGCAATGCCATTTTTCTTCGCTCGCGGCAGAGTGTGTGTGTGTGAGTGTGTGTTGTGCCTGCAGTGGCAAACACTACTTGCATGTGTTTTCCCGACAAAGCTATTTTTTTTAACGGAATGAATAATTGGTTTTGCATGAGAAGTGTGTCGATTATGACGCACTTCTTGTTCATGCTCGTCGATGACGAGAGACACTTCCGCTGTGAGGCTATTTCGCAGCGGGAGTACTCTCTCTCTCTCTCTCTCTCTCTCTCTCTCTCCTCTCTCTCTCTCTCTCTCTCTCTCGCACACACAAGTGCGTGCCCTTTGCCTCGAGGGCCCGTCGCGGCCTGTCTCTCTCGCAGCCGTGCGGGACGCGCCGTGAGTGCGAGAGAGAGAGAGAGAGGAGAGAGAGAGAGAGAGAGAGAGAGAGAGAGAGAGAGAGGCAGAGAGGAGACCTCCCTCTGGCCCTACAAGATGTGCCGGGCGCCACGGCAGCCCAAGGCCCGTCCTCGCAGTCCTCGCCAGGGGGCAAGACAAGCTCTCGACTCGAGGAGGACAAGGAGGCCAACATATTGGACACGATGGGCTGCCCCGTCCATATGCCCCAACGCGGCGAGGCTGGCGAGGCAGGCGAGGGGAGCGGCGGCGGTGCTTGGCAGAGCGGAGAGCGGAGCCTGGAGGAGCTGGAGCGCCCCCGCGGTGCCGACCGCCTTGCCCCACTACACTGCAGGCTGTTTCGTCGCTCTGTCTCTCTCGCACCTACACGGGACGCCCCGCGAGTGCGAGAGGGACAGAGGATCATGATTCACTCGCGAGTGATCGGCGGGGACGGTCGATACGCAAACGGCCTCGTCGGCGGCCTCGGCCACGGCGGGCGGCTCGGCTCGGCCTCCCAGCGCACATCGCTCTTTTTCGGACTCAAAATCCAATTTGGTCCCCCAAACAAACCAAGTGTGAAATTTGAGAGATGAGCGTTCGGGCGGGCCGCAGCGGGCCGCGGCGGGTCGAGGGTGACGCGCGGAGTGCGCCCAGAGGGGGAGGGGGAGGGGGCGCCGAATGAATCTGCCGGGCGGGGCGCGGGGCTCAAGTGGCCGTAGCCAAGCCTCGGCGGAAAGGTTCAGGTTAGTCGGTTTTCGGTGTACCAGCCGAAGGCAGGGCAGGAGTCAAGTTAGCGTGGAGGACTGGGTGGACTGTGCACGCGCGTCTTGCAGTTCCCCGCAGTGTCTTGCAGTGTCATGCAGCCCAAGGGTCGGAGGTGAAGTACGGACGGGGTGGAAGCTGGTTCAGTGGAGGGGGTGGGGGTTCCAATGAGATCAGCACTGGTTTTGCGGCGTTGCGCGGCGGGGCGCGGCGGGGCGCAGGGCGAGACGCCACGCGAGTAAGAACGTGAGATCTTTCGCGGATGGGAGCAAACTCTCAAACGATGGCGAGGGGGAGGGGGAGGGGGAGGCTGGGGGAGGCCCGTCGCCGCCCCGGCCGGCCCGGCCGTCTCCGGGTGTTGGCAGCAGCAGTTTCACGCTCCACCGAGCATTCCTCCGGCGAGGGAGGCAGAGGGGCGGGGAGGCAGGGCGAGGCGGAGGCACGCGCCGAGAACCGCGCACCACGAGGCCTCCCCCAGCGTCCCGTATTGGATTGTCGCGCGAAACTGGTGCCTCCGCTCGCCGGGCTCGGCGTCCTGGCGGCCCTGGCTGGGAGCGTCCCGACGCACAGTGGGCCAGAAGAAGAGTTTTGAGCTCCAGAGTCCTAGACCGGACTCGAACCGAGCGAGTGACCCCACCAATGGATTGCTCTCCAAACGAGGAATCCATTGGTGGGGTCACACGCTCGGTTCGAGTCCCATTTAGCGACTCTGGAGCTCGAAACGCGTCTGGGGCTTTGACCGCCCCCACCGGTCTTCTGGCCCACTGTGGGGCGTCCCTGCCCAAGGCGTCGTTGCGTCATTGGAAACAGACGCCGCGGCAAGGTGGAACGAGGCGGACGCGGAACGCGCGCTGCCAAAATCCGAGCAGCGCGCGCCGCCCCCTGCCTGCACCACTCTGCCACCTCGCCACGGCCGCCACGGCGTGCACGGAACACCGCAGCCCGCTCCACATACCTCTCCGCGCCTCCCCTTCCCGCCTCCCGCCCGCATTCCAGCTCCTCGCTGCTCCTCGCCCCGTCGGCGCCCTCGCGGATTCCTCGGCGCCACCCTGCAGACTGATTCCGAGAGTCGCGTTCGTCGCTCTGTCTCTCTCGCACTCGTGCAGCGTGCCTGACTAGTGCGACAGGGACAGAGCGACTCTCGGAATCAGTCCGCTGGACCGGTTTTCCGCGGTCACGCCCCGCGAGCCGCGAGCCTTGCCTGGCCGCGCGCCCGCCGCGTCAAATCGTGGGAACGCGGACCCGCGCGGACCTTCCCTCCGATGCGCACAAAAAAAAAAAAAAAAAAAAAAAAAAAAAAAAAGAAAAAAAAACGGGACGTCCTCCCGAGATTCGAACCCGCGTCCCGCGGTACCGCTCTATTTTCGAGTATTTTTCCCCGATCGACAGACACTTCGAAGGCAGTTCTTATGAGCCGTTGTTCCGAATGGGTGCGAGAGAGACAGAGAGACAGAGCGACGCGGCACGGCAGCCGCTGCGGGGAGCGCCTGCGAGACGAGTGTAGGCAACCCAACGTGCCGTGGTGGGGCGCGGGCCTGCCTACCTGCCGGCGCGGACGGCTCTGTTCGCCGTGCCCGTGCTCCAGGCCGAGCCGCAGGAGGCCTTGCTCCAGGCCGGTCCAGCGGGGCGTCATGTGACGGTGGGGCGAGGCAGGGCGAGGCAGGGCGAGGCAGGGCGAGGCAGGGCGAGGCAGGGCGAGGCAGGGCGAGGCAGGGCGAGGCAGGGCGAGGCAGGGCGAGGCAGGGCGAGGCAGGGCGAGGCAGGGCGAGGCAGGGCGAGGCAGGGCGAGGCAGGGCGAGGCAGGGCTTGCGCCTTTCCCAGCCCCTCGCCGCCCCCGCCGCCCCCAGTCAACCCGGCCGCGCCGCCGCTCCACCGCTCCGCCCCCAAGCCGCCACCCCCCGTTACTTCCACGCCGCTGAACCAACCCACGGCTTGCTGTGCCGCGGACTCTTTCCCAGTGAGGGCTGGGCGGGCCGGGCGGGCTAGGCCAGCAATCCCCTCTACTCTCCGGACGCCGCGGCTGCCCGGCCTGCCCGGCCTGCCCGGCCTGCCTGCTCCACACCCCCAGCCAGCGCCCGCTAGCGCCAGGGCTCGCTTGTCGATCCGCCCGCCAGCCTCCAGGCAGGCTCCAGAGGCTCCAGCACGAGGTGTCTTCCACAGCCGTTCGAGCTGTGCCTTTGTTTCAGTTGTTTGCCACCCTCCCCGCTTCGCTGGCGAGGCGGCGGCCGACCAGGGCGTCCAGGGCGTCCAGGGCGTCCAGGGCGTCCAGGACGTCCAGGGCGTCCAGGGCGTCCAGGGCGTCCAGGGCGTCCAGGGCGTCCAGGGCGTCCAGGGCGTCCAGGACGCGGCGCGGCAGGAGCGGGGCGTATTGGTCGACCTGCCGCCCTGCAGTCCAGTGCAGGACCGCGCAGGACTGCGCGGGACACCATTCAGTGGCTGTGCTGGAAGTGGCTGGGAGTGCTGCCCGGTCCTCTCGCTCTCCCTCCCATCCTCCCTGGTCCATCCCTGCCGACTGATTCCGAGAGACGTTTTCGTCGCTCTGTCTCTCTCGCACCTATACGGGACGCCCCAGGAGTGTGAGAGAGACAGAGCTACGAAGACGACTCTGCCGGTCCAACTCACCGTCGCAGTCCGGCCTGGGGATGCCGGTGGCGCCGGCGGCCCTCTTGACGTCGCCCAGGTGGCCCATGGCGGCGCCAGGGCTGAGGCCCAGGTGCGCCGTGGTGTGCGGGCCGCCCGGGTACCACGCCCAGCCCGGCGCCTGCCCGTTGAACATCCGCAGCTTGTCGTACACGGACTCGCTCTGCACGGCGGACGCCTGCTGCTCCTTCTGGGAGGCCAGGTTGCGCAGCACCCTGTTGATGGAGGACACCTGCGGCAGAGAGACAGAGACGGTGGTCAGTGAGGGGTGCGAAGCGTTGGCAGCACTGCAAGGTGTTCAACACAAGCGTCCAGGCCGCTCTCTAATTTGGGTAACGTTGGCTGCACTGCATCGGCAAGGTGTTCAAAATAAGCGTCCAGGCCGCTCTTCGGTCTCAAGTTGGCAGCACTGCAACGGCAAGGTGTTCAAGACGAGCGTCCAGGCCGCTTACGGCCGGTCCCTTCATCAATTAGCGGCACGTTGGCACCACTGCGGCACCCACAGTGTAGGCTCACGCCCCATTGGCCGGCGAGCGGCCTGCCCGGCGCTGCCTGGAACAGCCTGGAACTGCCTGGAACTGCCTGGAACTGCCTGGAACTGCCTGGAGCGGACAGGCGGCACTGCGGCCGCGGCCAGGAAGGCGAGAGCAAAGTGCGCCGCCTCCGAAACAATTTTTCAAAACACGTTGCATTCGAGGGACGTTATCACGACGATGGCTCTGGCAGGCCGGGCAGGGCTGGCCCGGGCCGGCGTACATGCCTGGGGTGCGCTCAACTGTCGAATCGCATTAACTGTATCACTATAAAAGGAGCCGGCGGACGAAAAGGTGCGCGTCGAGGCGGGGCGGGGCGGGGTGCCCCAACGACAACAGCGGGCTCGCCAACAACAGCATGCATGCAACATGCATGCCTCTAAAGGGCGGCATGTCGAGTGGCTTGCTCTGCCCGGCCGCTGGGTCGCCAGGTGGGGCCAGGCTAGGCCGGGCTAGGCTAAGGCTAGGCAGACGCACCTTTGCCTCCATACACGATCACCTCATTTTCCTTCACCCAAAGGTGGGCTTTTTTTTCTGCTCCAGCGCCGCCGCCGAAGCCGGGCCGGGAAGAGCACCCATCACGTGGTGCACGCCGCACAGTGGGCCAGAAGACCGGTGGAGGCGGCCAAAAATCTAGACGCGTTTTGAGCTCCAGAGTCGCCAAACAGGACTCGAACCGAACGTGTGACCCGAATGGATTGCTCTCCGAACGAGGAATCCATTGGTGGGGTCACACGTTCAGTTCGAGTCCATTTAGCGACTCTGGAGCTCAAAACGCGTCTAGAGTTTTGTCCGCCTCCACCGGTCTTCTGGCCCACTGTGCGCCGCTTTCCACGCCGCCGGCCGACGGGGCGACTGGGGCGTCGGAGGAAAAACGAAATCGGCTTTTCCTCTTGCCGCCGTCCAGTTCGGCTTCGGCTCCAGGTGCTCAGCAGTCCGATTCCGAGAGTCCCTTTCGTCGCTCTGTCTCTCTCGCACTCCAAGGGCGCCCCGCGTGGATGCGAGAGAGACAGAGCGACGAAAAACGACGCCCTCGGTCTGCAGTGCGCGTTAGCTGCAATCCGCGTCAAGCTGGAGTGCGCCCTGCCCTGCCGGCCCTGCCGGCCCACAGGCTTAGGCCCTTCGTGACCTTCACCGGGGGACGGTCCTGAGGGGCGGCAGACTCTGCGCCTTTTTGCAGTTTCAGTCAAAAGATGGGACTTGATGGAGATTCCTTTTTGAGACGCTGTGATCAAGCAAAAATCACTCGCTGCACTAAAACGGTGCTCGTCAGAACCCGGACGGAAATGTACGAACAAACTCACCCCAAAAACGAACAAAGAAAACCGAATCCACATACAACAACAACAAAGTCGACAGATCGAGTTCACAAAACTTGAAAGAATTAAATAACATTAATGAAAGAGGGCCCGTCGTGGCTGAGCCCTTACTGTGCACCAGATTTACGGGCGCCCCCTGCCGGCCTTCCCCGGCGCGGCGTGGCGGCGTGGCGGCCTGGCGGCGTGGCGCGGCGCAGCGCGGCGGCTTGGGAGGCAGCGAACCGAGGCGCTGTCACAACGCATCAGCGCCGGCAGACAGGCCAGCACCGCCAGCACCGCGCTGACCACCAGGGCGGGCCGCCCGGCCGGACGGACGGACACGGACGGACAGACAAGCAACCAGTTTGCTTTAAGTATAAAATGCTTTTATTGGGTGAATTTGAAATTTACAATTTTCGGGAGGGATGGTATGAGACAGTGACTAATTGTATGCAAGTTTGGTGCGACTTGGGGTGTAGGAGGGTGCTGCGTTTTCTATGAAAGAGTGAGAAATAATTTGAAAGCAAAAATTATAAGACGGACAGACTTAGACAGACAGACAGACAGACAGACAGACAGACAGACAGACAGACAGACAGACAGACAGACAGACAGACAGACAGACAGACAGACCTGCTGCCAGCACCTCCACGATGCAAGCGACAGGCCCGCTAATGCATCCTCGCTCATTTGCCTGGGATGGGTCCGACGGTCCGACGGTCCGTGGGGTTTATAGAGGCGCACGTCTCCCCCGCCGCGGCAGCCAATCAGAGGCCTCCGCTCCGCTTCGCCCCGCTCCCTCCTCGGCCAATCGGAAGGCCGGGAATTTATCGGAGAGTGTGCCTTTAATGGAGCCAGGTGGAGCCAGGTGCCAGACGCAGGCCGTCGTGTTCGAGCAGCTTAGGCCGCGCGGCAGAGTCCCCCCCCTCCCCCTCCCCTACAACAAGTCCCCTTCCCTCATCAACCCCCCGGGCCGGCGCGGCGCGGCGCGGACGACGCAGGGGACTACTTATTTCCATCCGCGTAGTTTTGCGGTCCAAATTGAAAATGAATCGGTGCACACAGTCAAAAGCCGCGCGCCCCTGGTTGTGTGAACCGCAAGCGCGCACCGCCTCGCCCCGGCCGTCCCCAGGGGAAAGGGGGGGGGGGGGAAGGGGTGAGTCCGGCGCCATTGTGGTGGTGGCGTCCCAGCGGAGCTTGCGAGCCGCGCGCGGCGGGCCTGGCGGCGGCGGTCCGCGCGGCGCCCAGCGGGGGCCGCACCGCACCGCAATCCTACCCCACACAAGGCCCGTCAGAAGCAGTGTCGGTCTCGCTCGCACACTGCCTAGCGCCGCAGCGCCGCGCCGCCACGCCTCGCAGCCCCGAAGGCAAATCATCTGAAGGCCGTCCCAAAGTTGGCCGGCCGGGCATAGACTTCCTCGCGACTGCTTCTATTTGCAGCGGACCCACACTCTAAATGTCTTACGAAGAAATTTCCCATAATACGAAGGAAATGGCGCAAGCATAATACGAAGGTGGTTTTTCTTCGTATTACGAAGGTTTTTCTTTGTATCTTACAATGAAAAAGCTTAAAAGATTCGTATTACGAAGGAATATTGCTTCGTATTATGCTTGCGCCGATTTCACTGTAACATACGAATAACATAGGTCAAATTTCATTGTAAGACATTTAGAGTGCAGCGGACCGCTGGGCTTCGTCGGCCCGGCGCAGCCAGAACAAGTATCCCATCTCTCCTTTCTTTTTCACAGTTGCCAACAAATTAATCCGCACCAAACACTGAGAAAACCTTACAAACTATTTTGGGCCTTACAAAGAAAAGTAGTTTGTATAACGAAGTATTTTGAGCATACGTAAGCTGACAAAGAAAATACTTCGTAATTTACGAACTATTTCTTCGTATAACAAAGTATTTTAGTTTGTTATATGTATGCTCAAAATATTTCGTAAGGTTTTAAGAGTGAAGTTCCCACAGCGATGACTAAAAGTTTCTACATCCTCGTTATGCCCTAAATGGAGTGAAGCTGCCGGCCGGCGAATCTTTTTACCCCGCGAGGAACGCAGAGGCAATACGATTCCGCAGTCCTGGCGATCCGACAATGAAGTGCCCCCGGAAGGGTTGAGCCTCCGGCGGCACGCGACCGCCACCACCACGGCTACGACGGCGGCCTCCACGACGGCGTCCACCACGCGCCGCACAAAGAGAGGTCCACTCGGAAGGTGGCGAAATATGTAAGTTATTATTACTGGCATCAATGAAGGGGTGGAATAGCATGTGGTTCGACTCCCAGCAGCCCCGGCGGCGGCGGCTGCTGAGCCGGCCACGCCCGCCCCGCCCCGCCCCGCCCCGCGCCTTTATTGCGATATTCTTCGGACGTAACCAAGTGGAAATGTTGGCTGCTGGGCCTCGCCGTGTAGGGGATGATAAATCCCCTTATTGTCGTCCTGCCTGGCGGCTGGCGGCTCGGGCTGGCGGCAGGCGCCTGCATCGCCAAACTCTCTCTCTCTCTCCTTCTCTCTCTCTCTCTCTCTCTCTCTCTCTCTCTCTCTCTCTCTCTCTCTCTCTCTCTCTCTCTCTCTCTCTCTCTCTCTCTCTCTCTCTCTCTCTCTCTCTCTCTCTCTCTCTCCACAATGGTTTGCGTGCTGTTGTCATGTAATACAAGCCCTAACACGATTTGCGCCACCCCCGTCCGCGGCCTGCACGGCCTGCGCGGCGCCGCGGCTCGTCGGCCCACCCTCCATATTTGCCGCATCGATTTGGGCCCGGGCACACATATTAATCAAATTGGACTTGATTGGCGTCAGATCCATGGCGCGACCGCCTGGCCCGCCCCGCCTGGCCCTCCTGGCGCCGCTAGAGCGCCGCTGCTCGCTCCTCCTCTCTCTGTCTCTCTCTTTCTCGCTCGCGCGCGTTCGTGGACGGACGGGGTGTGTGATATGGCAGCATTTTCCGGTGGCGCAGCCGGACCCAACGAGGAACGCACAGTAGGCCAGAAGACCGGTGGAGGCGGCCAAAACTCTAGACGCGTTTTGAGCTCCAGAGTCTCTAAATGGGACTCGAACCGAACGTGTGACCCCACCAATGGATCCCTCGTTCGGAGAGCAATCCATTGGTGGGGCCACACGTTCGGTTCGAGTCCTGTTTAGCGACTCTGGAGCTCAAAACGCGTCTAGAGTTTTGGCCGCCCCCACCTGTTTCTGGCCCACTGTGGAACGGACGGGCAGGGCACCTTGCCGCCCCAACCACGTCACAGGCGCTGCGATGCGGCTCCGTCGGAAACTAAGTTGAGTCAAACCGTGTTTTTATTTATTTTCAATTTATTTTTACGTCGACACCCCCCAACAAAAGTCTGCTATCTGTGCGAGGCTAAAACATAAGCCGCTATCTGCGTGCGAACGATTG